TGGCTGTAATTCGGTAAGAGCAGAGTGAACCTCTGTGTCATTTTAAAGTGGCACGCTTAATTTTTTTAGCTGCCTGAAGGATAAGCTGTTAATCAGTTTAGAGAATAAGTTTATAGATGTTGGTATTTTATGATGTTATTATCGATGTGGTTACGTCACCCGGAGGATATCCACCCACTTACCCTGACGTAAGCAGCCGGTCTCCATATATATCAAACGTCACCCTCTCCTCTTCCTTGTTCGTTTTCCGCATCCCTCCTCCACCTTCTCTCCACCTTTGCAGCTACCCAATTGGTCGCATGGGGGTCCTATCCTCCCCGTCCAACGGCCGGGAGGTTGGCCCTCAGCCAAGCGGGTTACGCCAAATCTCCACATCCCAATAAACGATTCTGATTTCTCCCAAGCTTTCGGCTGCTGTCATTTCTCGTGAACATTAGTGAAGAGACAGGATTTCGGAGGCAACGAACAATAAATTGCCACAGAGAGCCGTGATAGTGCCCCCTGTGAGTCACCACTGGACAGTCACTTGTCTGCAATTGTAGCCTGTGTAGGAAGAAGCTGCTACCTCTCCTTGCCATTCTGTTGTTTGGAAGGGGGTGACAGTCTCTGTTGCTAATTAGTTGTGTTTGTATGGGCCTACATAACAAAAGGTAGTTATGAAAAATACCCTACTCTGAAATTTCACTTCAATGTTTTAAAAATAAAAACTCATGTAGTACGAGGTCCTCTTAATTATGCAGCTTTCTGGGCTTTTACCCACTGGAAGGTTTTCCAGGCAGTATTTTGATACCAGTAAAAATGCCATTTTTTCAATTTGTTTTGGGTCATTGTAAACCATATAGTTATATTTGAAATCGCAGAACTGAACATAATCAAAGCCTTTATTTTTTCTGAGACTGAAAAAATGTTTTTGGATAGCAAAATGAGTCTTTCTCTAGCGTGTGGAACATTTTGAGAATGTTCTTTTCATTACTGTCACTATTCTGATTTAGGAGATAGCAAGTGACCTTAAAATGCTTAGAAGTGACTTATTTAGTTTGCTAGTTCTGCACTTAAATGCTATCAGGTTCTCTGAAATCTAAACATTTAATTAGGGACAGCTGATGGCAAAACTAACTTTTCCTGGTTTTGCCATCTTAATACTTTCCTAAAGATGTCTCTTTTTTTCTGCTTTTTCAGAAGCAAATGGGAATGGCAATATGTGCTCTCTATGCCTATATCCAGAATGGCATACTGACAGCCAAGCAACCTCCTGCTCACCTAACAGCTGGGAAATTATACAAGATTTGTCCTCACCAGGTAATTTAATAAGTGTTTCTACAAATGAGAGCTCAGGTAATTGAACTAGAAGTTGAACCAATTGTTTTTGGTTTTATTTGCCCAGTTTAGACTTTGAAAACATTAATATGTCTTTATCATATTCTAATTTTTGTTTTGAACTACAGCCAAATTTATGTTAAACTATCTTGAAATTGTCTTTATTGACTGTACCACTTGACAAAGTTGGTAGCTCTGTCAGCATGCGTAGGCTGCAAAGGAACGAGTAAAGGTTTGTTCCATGGGGGGGGGGGGGGGGTTGAGAAACACGTTTCGGCCTTATTCTTCAGCATTGCTTCTTCAGGTGTGCCTCTTCGCTCCATAGCCGAAACGTTTTGTTTTTTCTATTTAGCGTAGAATTAACCTTCACCTGTTCCTTTGTACCACTTGACTTTGTTGCATAATATTCCATATTAGGGTGTGGGACTCACAAAATACTACCAACTTCAATTTATAACACTTCTAAAAATGACGTGAAATACTCGAGTATCAATTACCTTCCGAATTATATTTCTTTAAGATGTTCACCTCATCATTACTCGTGATGTGTTTTCAACTTTGCTAATCATCTGCTACAGGCATATTCTTGTGGAATGTGATTTGTTCTTTGTAAAAGATACCATTTCTGTCCCTGTCTGTAAGGTCATTTGTGGCTCAAAGTACATTGTACGAAGAGAAACTGCCCGTGACCATGTGGATCTGCTGGTGTCCTCGCGCTACTGGCCCCCAGTGTACGTAACAGACGCTCCCCGGCAGGTGGCTGTTTGCACAGATGTCCGGTACCCTGAACTGGCAGCGCAGATGTGGGGGAAGAACCAGGGTTGTTTCTCGGACCCCATGGCGGACCCAGAGGTCAGTATACATTTGGAATTTTACTCTGTGCCGGTGTTAAGTGTAATGTTTGCTCCCCAATTTCCATAAAACTACCTTCCCATCATAGTCTTGCTTAAATGTCCAAATAAACTGAAGTGGTCCAACTTCACTGCTAGGATTTTTTCTTTTATTTTAATTCCCTCCCGAGGTCATTGGTTAGTTGTTGAGCTCTTTCAGCCTTTTGGTTTCTTTTGAATGACAGATGCCTTATGTTGTTGTTGTTGTTGTTGTTGTTGTTGTTTTTGGAGGTTAAGTATAATTTTCTGCATGAGGTTTGCATGTTTTCCTAAAACTGAATCAACAGAATGGCAATAATGTTGCTTCCATTTGAAATAAATGTGAAATCAATGTATCACCTTTGTATATTCCTGATTTCCACATTACCCATCTTTTAGTAAATTTCATAGCTGCCATACCGCAAAACTCTGAAATAGTGTTTTGTATTTTCAAGCATTCATTTCATACTTCTTTACAGTATGTATCCTGTGCCGAGCTGCAGGACCAGCAGTACAGTATGGACATTTCTGGGGCTGAAAGCTCTCTTGTGCATCCCATCACAAAATCTCCATCTCGTTGGGTCGTACATTCCAGGGAGGACCTTGAGGAGTCGGGAGACCCCACAGCTCGGAACCACTGCCTCTCGCTGTGCCAAGAGCTGGAGCCCTACACGTCTGTCATTAGTGGACTGAAAGACAGCAAGACCAGTGCTGTCCGACAGAAACCCTTCGCCTTTGACAATGCAGCTTACTATTACCTCTATAACCGACTCATTGATTTCCTCACCAGCAAGGACATTGTTAACCAGCAGATAAGTGATATCTTGCAGAGCTGCCAGCCAGGGGAAGTGGTGATTCGAGACACTCTTTACCGCTTGGGTGTAGCACAGATCAATACTGAAGTGGAGGTGGAGGAAGAGACAGTGCTACCAGAGTAGAACGTTTTCCTTGTCCTTTCTCTATTTTCAATCTTTCAACAGCAGATTACTCACACAGCCATCAAATCCCCTTGTATGTTGGATCTTGGGGATATGCGGTAGAGCATGGGTATTCTGCAGTATAATGTTTTGGTGCAGCAAAATAGTACTTGATTCTAGCTAGTAAGTGATGGTGGTTAGATATTCAGGATATAGAATAAGAAAACATTCTTCATGCATCGACATGTTCCATTGTCATACTGAGCAAATGGCTCTGTAGTTCTTTCTTGCGTTTACATTGATTTGGAGCTCCTTTGTTGTTTGTGCTTTGCAACAATGACCAAGCTAAACCAATAATTCTTTGCAGAAGTTTAACCACCTTTGTGAAGCAAAGGAATAGAAGACATTTTGAGTCGGCACACAAAGCATACAATGTATTCTGGGCTGTTTCCACACTCGGTACAAAGAGTGTTAAACTTGTGCTTTATTCAGACAATAACGGAAATGAACCAGGGTGCTGCCATAAGTTATTATTAAGATATGTTGTAAAGGAGAACGTTTGTGCAGTGATTCGCTGCCTAAATCACTAAAAGAAATGTCTTCTTAAAGAAATCTTCTGTAGTTATTGTTGATAATTGAAAAAACATGAAGTTTAGTGATCATGGAATTCTATATAAATATTTGAAACACCTGACTACACATGTCTGCAGCTGGGCAGGAGTACCTTGCAATACTGTACTGGTATGCAGTAAATCTTTCTTTAATATGTGTGTTTTTAAACATTTTACTTATCATTGCATCAGTAGAAATCATTCTCTTTAAATTAATTAAATAAATATGTAATTTTCTTAATCTTTCCTGGAAAAATTGGAAGGTCACCTCCTTAATGACTTCAGCATTCAGAAACCAACAGTTCAGCACAATGCAAGGCTAAAAACTGTCATTTATTTGACTTTACTATTCTTAAAAGCAGATATGTGATTTATTTGTAATAGGATTAAATTGTGGTGACAATTAAAGTTAAGATCTGTCTTATCTGAGGGTTGTTTTGTACCTTTAATTCCTTGTTATTCCATTTCTTCTCAGTCCTGTCCTTCCAGTCCCTTTGGCCTACATGATTATTTGGATTTGCTGTTTTGAGAACCATGATAATAGGGTGTTTAAAAATTGTTAAATGCACTGTATGAAAAAATGAAAATACTATGTGAATATGAAATCTGTACAGGTAATTATATCTTTGGACTGAATTTATGTTAAAACAGCTTGTTTTGTGTGAAACTGACAGAAATCTGGTTTGTATTCATTGTTTGTGTATCTGGGTGCGTTAATATTTATTTATTGTATTCTGAATATCTGTTCCTAGCTGTTGGATTCATGAGAAGCTGTGAGCTGTGGCTCCTGTTCCATTCAAGAAAAGTAGCATGTTTGGGCTCTGTTACTTTGCCTCATTATACAGGCTTTTGGATGGATGCTGAATGCTTACCATCCCTGGACTACAGGCATGGGTTTGTTAATCCATCTTTATTCACAGGTCAGAGTGAATGCAATTGTACCTTCCATGAAGGTACTTTGTACTTGTTTTTATATTACAGTGTTGTGCTGTTGTACATGAATCTGTAGGCCAAGTGGCTGCGGTTGTGAAAAAATAAAAACACTCTTGGCTATACAAACAATTGTTAGTAAAACAGCTTTAGTGTTTGCATTAAAATAAGACTATACAGTATATTGTTAATATTTAAAACTGCATTTATTTTGTTAAAATTGAGACTAATGCACTGCTTGACACAGCCTGATAGTGCTCATCACAGCATATGAGAAATTATTATAAAAATCTACCTTTGAGATATTAATGCTTCTGTGTATCTGTGTAGTTCCAGTATGTGAAGATTTGCATAAAAAGGTATCAATTGATTTTAACTGAATTAAGAACGCAACACACATTATGTAGAGATGATACGAGTCAAAATACATATAGTTATGTATTTCTTATGTTACAGGTTTATATTAGCATTGAAATATACTTGCAAAGTGACAAAAGTGGTTCCTCAAAGGTAGGCTCTGCTTTATTTAATGTACCCAGATAGATGCACTGTCCTTTGAAAACCAATGCTGTATAAGTATTGTGTCTAATGTGTTTTTCAGTATCTAGGTAAAAGAAGGATGTCCCACTCACTACTTAAGATTAAAGACATTTTAAGAGCTGTTTTCAAGATCACTTGCATGTTACCGTCTTTCTTAGTTATGGGCTTACACAAAGTATTTCCTGTTATGGAAAGTACGACAAGCTGGGTATAATGTTACTTTAGAAAGAGTGTTTAGTCTGTTATACAAGCTCCTTTATTTATTAAACATGGGTTAGTAATCTCCTGAAATGGAAAGGCATTGGGAAACCTTTTCTTCTACTCCAAAGCAGTGCTGATGAACTTTATTTCAGTAATATTAACCATTTGTGAGTTTTTGATGAATGAAAATATTTTAGTGAATGAAAATCTTATACTGTAGTTGTCATATTTATATTCTTAGAGTTATGTATTATAGAAATAGAATATACATTTATTAAATTTCACAAGGTGGTCTTTAAAATTGTCTGTCTTAATCTGACTTAATCTTGTTAAACTAAAAACAGAAGGGATGTGTTATGCAGGATTCTTATGATTGTGATTACCGGTAAATAACTGTTATAAGGATACTAGGTGGTAAATGGCTTTATGTGAAATGTGTACATTTTAAACGCTTCATCAAAAGAATAGAAGGTTGAATAAATAGTCTAATGTAGACTAAAAAGAAGCATATGTATTTTTGATATTGTGCTTCTTTTGCTTTTAATGCAAATGCAAATCCAACCTTCCATGTTTTATCTAATACAGTGGCGGAGACAAGCTGGAGTCTATGACAGTACGCCAATCCCTGCAGGACATACGCAGACGCAAACAAAGACATGCACTCGCACCTTGGGCCAGTTTCCCCAGAAGGCAATTATCCTACTAGTATGGCTTTGGACTGGAAAGAAACCGAAGCACCTAGGGGAAACCCACATAAAAACACTGGGAGAACATACACACTTTATGCAAATAGCACCCCTGGTACATAATTGAACCTAGGGCCCAAGCTCTGTGAAAGCTAACCACTACACCACTATGTTGAAACACAGATCTCTGATACAGTATTTCACTATGACTTCTGAGAAGCACACGAATATACAGTCCCTCTAGCAATGCAGCATTGGTTTACATTTGATCCTAAGTTCTATTATCAGATGCACAAAATGTAGACTAAACTCAACATTTAAAAAGGGTGGGGACTCCTTCCCAAATTAATTCTGCAGCAATTTTATTTGTGATTCCTTCCTGAGATTCAGGAAAAAACAAACACCATGTTTAGTTTTTGTGACAACACATATGTTTTTAATAAAAAGCAAATTTTATTGAATAATATACAAACAACGTGGACATTGATAAACATGACTTTAATAGAAGAAGCCCTTGAATTGTACATATAAAACATGAATGTTATACAACGTATTTTAGCCTTCTTAAATTTCACAGCTTTGTACACCAAGGTTCTTGTTTTCTACTTTGGGAAAACTGCCCAGTCTATAGTAAACAAAAGAGATGGACAGTTTGCCCAGTAAAAAAATCTGCCCCTAAGTATTTCCTTCTCAGTTTCAATGCAAAAGAGCTGTTAAAGTTTGAGGTACTAAAAGGACAAATAAAAAAAAAAACAAATTAGAAATAACTAACAAAAATCTAACATGTAATGGTGTGCTAACTACTCAGTATTGATCCACACTTTTTGACCTGTGCTGATTGCAGCAGCTCTCTGCCTATTATCAAAGGCTTGGTGACAAACAAAAGCACAGAAAGTAGTAGTACAACATAAGGTATCTACAAAGCATCATTCACAAAGTGATTTATTTGTAAAAAAAAAAAGGATATATATATGAAAACTTGAATCTGATTTTAAAAATAGCAGCTCGCTTTAAAGCAAAATAAAACTTAGGGAGCTATAGTTCAGATCGTTCTTTGAGATTTAAATTATCACTTAAAATCCTTACCTGAGATGATGTGTGGTGCTAGACAGGACACCAAGCACATGGGACATAACTGCTCCATTTATGAAGTTTCTAACAGCAGATCGGGAGGAAGGTTAGATCCTAATCTCGTACATTTCCTCTCGCCTACATACATCAGTCTCACACCCAGAATTTCCCTTCACGTATCTTTCCTGCATCTCCACCCTGCCTCCCCATCTACAACCTTGCAGCAGCTCCCTAGCTCGATCCATGCAATAGTGAGGGTGGGGTGGGGGGGAGGTTAAGACAGCTATCCTCATGGCTAGGCTACCAGTCCCCCAGCTAGGAGGGGCACTCCAAATACTCCCAGCATACAGTGTTTTGTCCCTGTATCACATTAATTAGGATCTAACTGACCTGCTGAACTAATTTTTATTTGGTTCGGTTCTGATAACGGAAGGATAGTTTACAAATTATGTGGATGGTTCAGTTATTTTTTCAAGTAATTTTCTACAATAACATTTCCAGTTTGCTCCGAACATTTGTCCAGCACTATCTTAAGCACAATAGGTGTACAAATATACATCTTTATGACAAGTTTTGTGACCTGCACATATATCTATGTTAGTGATGATGAATACATTTACTAGAACAGAGAGCTACAGGAAATCAAATTAAAATTAAAACAGAGAAGTATAAGTTTAGCTCATTTTCTTTCTTTTGCTAATGTAGAATATCTATCATTCTTCTATGAGTTGATAGAATGGATTAACTTAATCTGAGAGCATTATTTGTAGCAAGAAATAAATATTTTTTTATTATATGAAATATTGAGGATGAAAGCAGTTTTCATTTTGGATTGACATCAGTTATGTATCTTATTCTATAAGTTAGAAATTCAGAGTAGGATTTTTAAAAATAATGTTCTAATTTACATCTTATTTTGTGAGGTTATTAGCCACACTATCTTCTTATAATTAAGTAATTTAGTAAAAAAGACAATTTGTTTCCAGGGAAAAACTGGCTTCATGCTTAGCATTTTACAAGTGAAATTGTTTTACTGACATGTGCTCTAAAAAAAAAGAACATAAGAACTAATACAAACATAGCAATGAGGAGACCTTTCAGCCTGTGTAGCTCTCAAGTATATATATTATATCTCCATTCTACTTCCATTTGTACATATCTTGCAGCATATCATATATAACATGATGCTGTGTCTGACACTCCACAATCTGTATAAAATACCCTTAAGGCTGCTTAAAAGCATTGTCATACAGTATATGCATTGCTGAAAACATACTATAAAGGAATTACATCTCTATTGTATATAAATCAAACACCCTAAAAAGGGTCAGCTGACACATTCATTTGCTTTAAATTAAAACTATTATTAAAACTACGATTTTTTCCATTTTTTAATAATCTTAGCACACTAGTAAACAAGTAAGAACAAATAATATACACTCCACTGAAGTTGCTGAGTTATTAAGAAATTAAAATTTTCCCCCAGTTAGTTGATATGTTGTGTGTTAGCACTGACCTTCAGATTAAATACAAGTCTGTTCAAAACAATGGTGTGATTTTACTACTGACCATACCCAAGTGCTTCATTTACTGCTTAGATGTCTGACATAAATATTGGGAATGTCTTTGGATCACGTTGTGTGATTTTTCCCTTATAAATGTGCCCAGTGATGTTTCCCTTCAATACTGCTCATATGACCTCATGAAGTTTGGTAAGCAGTGACATACATACTGGCTGTAATAATATCCAGATGGACATTTCCTGTTTTTTGTCCTGCAGGGTAGCCGGTAACAGCTGAAACAAAGAAAAGACACAAACGTTATTGCTCTAAAGTCTTTCTCTTATTGTCTGTACTCAAAGGCAGCAGATGCTCTTAAAAGACTCATTAAGATTCCTCAGTCAGCTTGGTGTGTGGCCATCTTTTTGTTAAGTCGCTGAAAAAGACTGTTTTAAAGTAAGAAGAATTTACGGAATCCTGCAGAATCAAAAAAGAAAGTTTTTTTTTTTACATCGAAACAAAACTGGTGCACAAAGCTTTTCCAAAAATGGTTTGTTTTTTTCCTATACTGTAATTGTCCAAGTGCAAGTGGTATTATTTTCAACTTACTTCTTACTTTCTGTGGTTTTATAGAAGTCAGTCAATGTACATATCCTCTAATATGAGTGCATTAAAAACAGACGTTACTGGAAATGTAAAAAAAAAGTGGACAGGAATGTACTTGATCTGTTAATGCACACCGATGTTTTGATCTCCTAACTGAATTGGTGGGAGTTGGTAATCACATTCTGCAATTCAGAGGACTATGAAATTATACATGTTGCATATTATTGACATACTGTACAATTCGGTTAATAGAGTCCTTGTAAATTACCTGCAGGTTTCAGGGTTGAACTTCTTCCCTTGCAGTAAACATGTGTTCGCATTCTCTTTACACTCACACTGGCAGTTCCCGGGGTTCAGAGGCTGACTCTTTGGGCAGTCTGCCTGGCAGACGCATCCACAGCGCTCTTTGTCCCACTTCTGGTGGGGAGGGCAGGGCTCCAAAGCCGCTTGTTCTTCACAGACACATTCACAGTCAACCTCATCAAGCCTCCATCCTTCTCCACAGCTCAAGTGGGTTAGCCCATTCTGACACACACACTCACAGTGCTCCTCACTCCACAGTTTGTTAGGACCACAGAGGTCAATGAGAGCCTCAGCCAGTGGGTCTATGGAAAAGGGAGAGGACAAGCAAAGAGAATAAATTTGATTTTTACAACAACTGAGACTGATGACAGCCATATGTAGAGTATTTCACAAGGAGCTCTCCTCTTAGCAGGTCTGTTTCCAAGTTGCCTTTGCTGAGAAGAGCAAAGTGACATAGTGACAAATCATAGTTTCTAGTTAACTGTTTAAAAGCACTACCTCCCTCTAAAATGATCACAACATCTTTGTGAAAACTATATAAAAATGTGTACTAAAATCTTTACTGTGACACCCATTCATTTAGTTAAAATGCTTAGTTGAAAGATCTAGATGTTTTGCTAATGAAGAAGCAATGGTTTGCAAGGTTTCTCTGGGGTATTGGTCTGGTTAAAGAAGGATTCCTTCTTTCATTTCGGAATATATTCTATGGTCTTTCGACTCCAAGCTAGGAGCACCAGTTTGGAACTGATTTTGATGAGCGTTGTCCGGCTTACCTGGCTCTGTGGAGGAGAAGAGGCTCATGTCGTCAGACATGCACTGGCAAGTAACAGGATTCCAATTTAGACCAGCGGCACAGGTACTGTCTGTCTCAGGACATCTGGAAAACAGCACAATTTATTTGGGATTAATGCATTATAATGCTTGGTCTTCAGAAATGTTCCTAGAGCACTGATACATGGAGTATATAACAAGTTCTAGAGGAAGATTAGATCCTAATCTCTCACATTTCTACTCACATACTTACATGTACAGTATAAGTCTCACACCCAGAACTTCCCTTTGATCATCTCTGTCATATCCCTTCTGCTACTCCATCTACACCCTAATAGCAACTCCCTAGCTCACCCCTCACAATAATGAAAGGGGAGATGGGAAGCCTTAATGATGAGACTGCCATTCCCTCAGCTAGGCTCTACATAGTTTATCCTCCCTCTCATTCATTAAGATCCAACTGATCCGAAGAAAATAAAACAACCACTACAGATTCTGATTTAATTTTTGTATAACGTGTACCGCATTTCAGATTCTTAATTTAATTTACTTCTGTTTTATTTTGAAACAGTCGTATAAATCATAAGAAAAAATTCAAATCAGTGGAACCTCTCTTACCTATCTAGTATCTATCTAGTATCTTGTAGCTTAGTGCAGATTTACAGATATATTGATACAGACAAATATTACTCTAACTTGCTGAATTAGTACTAGGTCCTTCAATTTAAGAATACAATCATCTTTTATTGTTACTTTGACTCTAAGTGGAACTGATTTATTCCACATTACTCTGTAGTACTCTGTATTCTTTCTCTTTGTACCCTGTACTCTTTCTCAAGTGTGTTTTGCTAATTATGGTAGCAAACAAGGTAACACGTACATACAAAGTACATTAAACCACAGAAAATTGGCAAGTGTCTTTTTTCTCTTCTCATATGGGAGTAAAATCAGCATTCACTTACGGTGTATTGGCTGACCTCCTGATGACAGAGTGAGGAGATCGCTTGGGTTGGCATTCGCACTCTGTGTGGTTGACAAAACTGACCATAACAACTGTCTTTTCCATATGTGGCATGGAGAGTTCAATCAACTAGACAGAAACAAAAATGCATTATGATGTGTGTATGCAACACAAGTAATGCAATTATCAAAGAACTGGAAGATTGTTGTAATATACAGACATTTGCACCTTCACATATGCTTTTAAAGAAGTGAATTACAACACCTAAGGCACGTACTGTAGAAGCTGAAAATGAAATGCAAAAAAGGGACTTTGCTACTCTAACCTTCCATCCAGGTTTTACATGCTACAGCTTTTTAAATTTAAGTGTATTTGTGCAAGACATACTACAAGGTTAATTATTTTTGTTTTCACAGAGCATCTAATTTCTTACAGTCTTGTTGACATAGGTATAGCTGGTGTTGACACAGTGGAGGGCTTCACTTTTGCAGCATCCACCACATCGGTGCACAGAGACACAGCGAGGCAGGTAGAAATTGGTGGTACTCTCAGGGTATTCTTTAGAAACATCCAGGAACACTTCTCTTGGAGTGCACAAGGTCTTCTGCATCTCATCCAAAATAACTGAGAAACAACAAATATTTTTGAGGTACATGCTCATATCAAAGAGGACTTGGAAGCTTTTGTTTTATTTTTTAACTATTGTACTTATAACTACTTGCTGAAGCACTACAAATAAGAACACGATAATGTTAAGTAAGGCACTTCAAAAACTCATGAATCACCTTTTCTCTGTTTTTTAAAATAAAAGAAGACTCTTTCATCTGTGATTTAAACAATTTGTTCTGATTTAGCTTCAACATTTCTGCCAACGGGTTATTTTACCAAGAAGAAAAAAAAACAGGTTTAAAGATTTAATGTCATGGAAAACAACATTTAAAGTTGTTGAGAAGTTCTGAAATAAAGGATGACAGAGAGCTTAAACCTCCTTAACTAATAATCATTAAAAAAATCAATAAAGTACACAAAGTACATAAAAGTACATTATGCTCATTTCTACTTGGCAGGCAAATGTAACTGTAAGGGTGCCAATTTTGCCTTTCAGCATGACCTTTTAAATGTTTTATGTTTGTTGTCCGATGTGGATTGTACTTCCTTTGAGGGTATTTGACTTAATTTGTTGAAAAAGTTTTTGGTTTTTTTAAATACCTGTACCTGCCAAAAGATCTTTGCTGGCCCAACACATTTACTCATGAGAACCAAGTTTTTATAAAATCCTTAGTTGGCATGATTAACTATTACTTTTTATTTTTTGTCCAGAATAACCACATTTGGTGGATAGCTCAAAAAACTAATAAGGCAAATTATTTAAATCAATCTTGAAACAACAATCTCTACATAGGATCTGAAATAATTAAGGAACAAAATAGCTGGGGAAACGGCTGTCATTCACTGCATAAACAGACATTAATGGGAAACACTGAAAGTTAGTAAAGCTCAGATAGCTTATATTAAGAGTACATTATATAAGGCAAATTAATATTTTTCAATCCCTTCCGTAGGTAAGGAGCCTCAAAAGTGGGCCCATCTTATCTTACGGTCAAATGCGCTGTCTGCGATGTAGAGTGCTGCCTTTTTTTGATTGCCCCAGCTGTCCCCTTCCTCCTGGATTGATGTGTGCGTGTTCAGTGCCTTCTTGCGTAGGCAGTGCTGGACCAGGCCATACTCTGGATACAAGAGATCCAGCAGCTCATCTACAGTGGACACTGTCCCCCACTGGCTGTGCAGATCACTCCCTAACTGCCGATGTGAGAGGTGTCACATGTTAGAAATCGTAACCAGCAAACTGAGAAATCATTCAGGTCAAATTGTGAAACCACAGGAGAATTGAAATTATATAAGAAAACCCTTAAGAAAAATGAAATATATATAAACACAGTTGTTTATATAAAGTGCAGTTTTGAAATAGAAATATGTGCTTAAGATAAATACACACAACACTTATACACTAGATTTAGCTTTCTTAAAAAGAGGTACACTTTATGACTTGGCAAACATGTGCCATTGGATTATATTAACTGCCCCTGTCTTTATTTTGGAAGAGATCTGTAAACAGAAGTATTCTCCATACCATGAATATCTCTCTCAAAAATAAGTCCAGAAGCATCATGATCATCTTACCTCTGTTTCTTCCACATCCTGATAGTACTCCTGTTCAGACTCATATTGAAGGCAGAAAGGCAAAACATTGAGAATCCATAGACAAACAGAAAACATCCACATAGTGCATAAGTTGCTTGTGCCTTTGATCAGCAATCGGAATGCCAGAGAGTAATTTTTCATGCCAGCAGAAGGAACTCCCCACTGAACTGAGATTACCTCAAAACCAAACAAGAACGGATCTTCAGACTTGCTTTAAAAGAAGCACACTTACACATGTATTATTTCCTTGAAATGTGCAAAACAATCCTGTTTCATTTTTTTCTCCCTCATTCATTGACATCTGGAGCTTGATATCATGATCAATCCATGGTAGTTTCCATACATTGTGTGTAGTAAAAAGGAAAAGGATTAATTTGGCTTCCACTCTTCACAGAGTATATTTATGCAGGCTCAGACAGAATTTGCATCCAGGGCTTGCATTCGCAGAGCAAATGAAAGAAAGAGACAGACATTACTGACAGGATGAATGCACTCAAGGATTGCAGCAGAGACCTCTCTTTCTGCACTGCACTTGGCTTATTTTTTAAATCAGGCGTGGTAGAGCAGTCATTATTGGGAGGAGCTCCTCTCCATTCTCCTAAGGGTGTGTGTGTGTGAGAGAGAGAGAGTATTATAGAAGAGGGTGGAGGGGCAGGAGGTGGTGTAGAAGCTTGTTTCTTTCTTTCATTTTATCATGTTTTTGTCACCTCAAAAAGAACATGTCTAAACAGCTAAGACTTTGGGCTTTTCTTATCTTTTGGCTCCTTCTATCAGTAAATGTATTGGCTACTGTTGACACTCTATCAGGTGTTACAAAATCAAGAATCAACTAAGACTATGTTAAGTCAAGACTACAATAATATAATAAAACTATCTTTAATCACAATTAATTGAGGTCACTTTCCTCTTTTGCAGTGCACTGCATTATCCCTGATAGTACTAGTTAGGAATGCATGCACTGAGCTATTACTATCCTTGTAACTCAGCTGAGTAGCCTATAATCATTTTTTTAACAGTTTGGTTCTTGTTGATATAAAAAATCAGAATAGACATCACTATCCACGTCAATCACAGTCTGGGCTTAGAAATTCACTGTCTCAATCTTGAATCGGAGCAGCACAAATTTTAGACATTATATTCCTTGGTTTTATAATAGAAATTTGTGAAAAAGAGTAGATCCTAATCTCACACACTTCCTCTCGCCTACGTAAATTATTGTCGCGCCTGGGACTTCCTGTTGCACATCTATCTCAAAGTTCTTTCTAGTCTTCTGATGTCACCAAGCCTCTCAGAAACTCTGAGGATCTGTGGCCCATTTCCCCATGGAAGTTCCTCCCTGCATCTTCCCTCTCTTGCCATCCTCACCCATGCTACTCTCCCCTCTTCTCCCTTCTCTTTGTTTCTGGTTAAATGTTCAACCCACCACATCTATGGTCCTAGCTTATGTACTGTATGTTTTCATCAGTCCTTCTTTTTGCTGTCCATCCATTTGCTGACTCCTACTCTGTCCCATGGGTGCAAGCACACAAGTAGGCAGTCTGCATAGGATCCAAGCTTCCTTGTTCACCCCCACACTGTACCTAGCCTGGCATAGACAAGTGATGGGTTCTATCCCCATTTACCCTACTGCCCTTTTCAGTTGGTGTCTAACTTGTCAGTACCATCCTTCAACTATTCTTTCTCCCAAGCTTCCAGCCACATGCAGTACATAGCTTAAATTCCACCTGTTTTCGGGTTCAGCTCGAAACTTCTTCCTATCTAGGTAAAAGCAAACTGCAGCTCTCCTCCGCCTCAGGCTATTCTCTCTGGCCCACAGCTCTTCTGGTCCTCTGCCCACCATAGAGTTCCAATCTCAAATGAGCTGGTAGATGTAACCGTTAGCTCTCTTCCTTCAGGTTCCTCTGCAGCTGGCCCAGATCCTTCCACTGTCCACCACAGAGTTACTATCTCAAACTAGTCAGCACAGCTAACTACTAACCAGTAGCTCTAAGATCCCAACGCCTTCCACTGCCAACCAGTTGAGTTCCAATCCAATCTAGCTTGTCCTGCTACTTCTGTTTGCTGCTAGTGCTGCCACCTGTTCGACTCACATTCTGTCACCTGCAGCACATGTGCTTCTCAGGCACTGCATCGGAATTCATTAGGTCAAACAGGCGCAAACCTGCACCATACACTTTTTTCCACCTGCATTGACCAATATTACCCAGTGGTTTGTTCAAATTCTATGTATTCTTTCATGAAAAGTACAAAGCGATTAATGGTGTTGCTTAATTTAGTTAAAAGTAATTTTTGAGGCCGTATCTGTGTTATGTGGTATTGGTATGTCACATGAAGAGTTAAAAATCTTTTATCATTTCACTGTATCTTTGAGAGTTTTTTTCAAAGAGCTTATTTCAACACCAACATAAAAAACAGCTTATCAACATGCATGATTTCCTGTCTTGATTTTGATGGAGATAGACTAATTTGGTTTTACGAAGAATGTGGCAATATAGATTAGCTGGAATACATTACGTTTGAACATTATCTTTCTTTTTATAGGCATTTTTTTGTCTATGCCAGACACATGAATATAAAGTAATTGGTATATTTACATTTCTATTCTAGTTTGTTTAAATTAAGGTAGCAATGGCTCTGTGCTACACAATGTACAGTACTGTGCTTTTTACTTAGAAGTGCTTACCTCTTTTGTAACTTAAAACTGCAGCAGGAAATATACAGTACTGCATTTTTCTGAGACAAAACTCCTTTAACACTTGGCACTTTAAGGCATGACTATGGGACATACTGTAACATCAGTGGAAGCATTATTATTTCCTAATTAATGTGTAAGTAAGGAGATAATAAAAATGATGTTCCATTCTTACCACTACATATTTCATTCCCACCAATATATCTTTGTGATTCTGCAAAATTTGATGAATGCTGGAATAATTCAGATAATAGATCTGTGTGACATGGATTCCAAGCAAATTGTAAGCAGAAATGAACAAATGGATATTTTTAACACATTCATTTATATTTGAATGTCTGTTTTGATTGTTCCATTTTCAAATTGTTCCATTTAAAAATAAAAACTGAGTATGAAATTATAAGCCACAATAAGTATCAATAGGAATTCTGTTTGTTTACAGTTTTACTTGTCTTATTCAATAATAACTATGTCATAAAAAATATTGTTTACCTGCAATATACACAATTCTAGTCCTAGTTTGATTTTTGAATTTCAGGAAACCACGGTTAATTTTGGAGGCTAAGGGTGGCTGACAAACATCTCTGGATTTAAAACCAAATCTTAGAAAATCAACCAGATATTTGTACATGTGATAGCTCTGCTAGCTGCTAATAGCAGATGCTAATTGCCATTGCTATTAAAGTAGCAATGGCTCTGTGCTACACAATGTACTGTACTGTGCTTTTTACTTAGAAGTGCTTACCTATTTTGTACCTCTTCTAGACTTTTTAGGGCAAATCCCATTCTCTTGGCTATGTTGCCAAGTGGCACAGCTTGTGCTCAAACCTCTGGCCCTCAGGCTGTAGGAATTCATACCTAATTGTAGAAATTATAGTGACTCAGTTCGTGAGGATATCTTTAAGATTGCTTGGTCCTGTACAGTTACCGATTACTGCATAGGGAGCAGTATGACTTTAAGGCAACTACCCGTGCAATACCTCAGTGTCACGAACAAAGTGCACCTCTAGTTGCAAGCAACAAGTTCAAGCAGGAACTGAGTGGGTGTCACTTCATTTAAAACCAAAAAATATTCAGGGGTACAAACGCACACACGTAGGTGCTGAGTATGTATGATGTATGGTAGTGCCCAGCAGTGATCAGTCACATTCCCTGTATTTGCAGTTGGAGCATGTCTGGAAAACAACAGAACATATAAATTATATATACAGTACTGTATATGTATATCAATATATTTTAAATAATTTAAAACATATTTTTCTTAAAATAATAAAATGTATATGATTAAATATATTATAAACATATCTAATTCTTTATTATACAGTATGAAAGGATATACTGTGTGGAAAATACAACAAGAAGCCAAGTGCTGGTGAAGCTGTGTGTTATAAAAGCAAACACAAACGAAGCTCTTATTGTTTTGGGGTATTTTTTCTGAGTTCTTTGCGTTGTTACTCCGGCAACACAAACACATTTTAATTATTAAATGAGTATCAAATTTCTGTAAGGCAAGGAGATTCAAAACAGTTGTTGATCAAAACATAAGAATAAAAGCCAAAAATCATGAAAAAATGACTCAGTTTCATATAAACCTGTTCTCTATAATTCTCTTTCATAAAATAGTCTGTCCTCTGTAATTTGTGTAATAAATTTACAAATGAGAAATAAAAGCCCTTTATAGAGAATACCAGATAGAAATCATATGGAATGAAAAATATTGCTTGATTCAACAGCAAATGTATGCTTGTTTTACATCGAACAAAACATTTTTAGACATTAGACAATAATAGTCAGTTGTAGCCTGAAGTGTGTCATCAGTCAAATCTCAACAAAGTCCCTTGTCCCTTGTCAGCCTGAGGCTGAAGTATTTTAACTACATTGGTCCCCTGTCAAATGAAGCTACATTCCTTTGCTTTCAAAGCTATTCCCCAATATCTTTTACCATGGTGTTTTAAAACAGTATGAACAGAGAAGTCGTTCATATTATTATTATTTTTGCTGAGAATACATCCCTTACATTCCCATTATGTTTTTCATCCCAACAGATCACAAGTACATAATAAGACACAAACTCAAACATTGTTGGATCTAGGGATAAATAGTGGAACCTGGGTATGTTGAACTGACACAGCTCAAGAAGGCTAAATTATCTCATTTGTGCAAGACATTTTTGCAAGATTATATCCTTATAAAATACGACTAACAAGGCTTTGTTTTATGGAATAATCCCAGTGGGCTAGTTACATTTGTTAGATTTCTTAACTAATTATTAAGCACACTTTATTAAAACAAAAGTTATGTTTTACATGAATAGCTCATGTTTAACAGTTTGTCACAGATGGCAAAAGATGACACAGAAATGTCTTGCCATAATCATTAAGATAATTATCTGGTTAATTTACAAATTGCCTGTTGGTTTTTAAAAACACTACAGAGAGCTTGTGGATGTGGAAAATTGCTCTAGTGGACTAATACTTCTGTTCCACAACTGAGACCTTTATTTTGAAATGATTACTTATTAATCACCATGCAATTAGTGCACATGAAGTCAACTTTTATTAGAAATTACTAATTAATATACAGTAAATGTCTGCCTCACTTACCTCACTTAACATGAAAGATGCAAAACCAGAATTTACAGTGGTATGAATTAAAGCAGATGCAGAAAATTGTTGAAAAACTGCATTTTTTTTCCTTTCCTAACATGCTTATGTGCATAAACTAGTGGGAGCAGAGCATTTTTTTTATTTTAAAAAATGATAAAAATATGTTAAATTGCAAATTTAAAGCCATCAAAATCAGTTTCACCTGATAATAATTATCTTTTACCAAATCATTTCCTTTATGTCAAATTCCTGCAGTCAGTAGATGAAACAGTGATGCGTAAGCTGATGTAGAATCTGTGACATGAGCTGACTAATGAAACTCAGACATGAAAAATGAACTACATAAAAGGATGCAATTGCACTAGTTTAATACCAAAAGATCATAAGTTATACCATCCTAGCTCTGTGGTAAATGACGTTAATCTCTGTGGTTAACCAATCTTGTGACGGCATTAAAAGTCTTTTCAGATTCTTGAGCACAAATGTCACATCTTGTGCAATGTACATTTTCTGTTTTGAAAAGAAGGTCAACACATCAGTGTGTGGTGATACAGCTCAATATTATTTTGTGTGTACTGTATTTCTGCAAAGAGAAAGAAGCAAGCAGGGTTAACTTAAGAAGTTGTGCTTTGGAGTACGATAAGATGTTTAGATTTTTTTTTCCTGAAGAAAAAACTCCCCACAATAACCACTGTGTGTTAAAAAAAGTCAAAGATATTTCTTGATATGTGCGTGCTGCAAGCCACTTCACTTGTGCTCTACTTTCCAGGAAGAGGTGGAACCCTGACCTGTCGTACAAGAATGAGTCCTGCTAATTAGGTTAGAAAAACATCAGTACAATAAATTGCAAGTAATGTGATCTGAGGAAGAAACCGGAAACTTAGACATGCTAGGTCTTGTTTTCTGTAGGAAGTTTCAGGGCTTTGAAGTTCAATTCACTTGGGTATGATACTGTATATTACCCATTAAACAATACTATTTTCTTTGTTAGCTGAAGTTGAATTTGTCCTGTATTTCAAGAAAAAATACAGACAGGTAGGTGGGTGGCACAGTTCAGTTCTTGGGGTGCTATCTGCATGGAATTTGAATGTTCTCCCCATGTTTGTGTTGGTTTCCTTCAGGTGCTTTGGTTTCCTTTCACCATCCAAAGACCTATTAGAAATTTGCTTCTTAGGTGGTAATTGGCTTCTAGGTTAATGGGCTGCTGGGAAAATTGACCCTGGTGTGAGTCTTGTGGGTCTGTCTCTGTGTGTGCTCTGCAATGGACTGGAATCCATCTAAAGCAACAGAATACATTGCAGGAGTTTAACTGACATTAAGAAGTGTTTTATCAGTTCTCTAACGGTACTAGCAAAGTACTTTGTAAAATAAAGCAAACTGCAAAACGAAGTAATAGAAATCATCTAAAAAAAATTTGAGTTCACCTTCATGTCTTTCAGAAAGGGATCTGAGATTCACTCCTCTGACTACATGAACTGAAAAACAAGAGACCAAACAACAGTGTCTTAACATGCTAAAAATATTCATAAAGGACATCAAGGGAAGCTTGAAAAGAGCAATCCACTTTTAGTGGAATGAGTATTACTGAGTAGTATAGCGAGTATTACTCATTTTAAAATGAATTTTGGTTCTGTTAATGTGATACAACTTGTACAATTAACTTATTTAATAAACTAACATGTTATTTATGCGAGTCTTAGGCCCACAGCTCTCTCTTGAGCACCGTCCACCGGTTTTTGCTGTAAAACATACAGTTACTGAGTCCATAATTGGAATTAAGGAGGGTGGGGATGGGTGGATATTTTTTGCTGGCCTCCCTGGCCAGAAATGATATGGCATATCTGACATGTTCCCAAGAGATGACAATGTCAATATCATCTGACTTTCTAATGGATGTGTGGCAGTGATGTCACCTCACATGACAGAGCATGAACCCTCAGACCAGTCTGTCTGTGCACTGATAAGAAACCACTACAGATTAAAAAGGGGCATGATACTGCCTGAGCAATCTGGCTTTAATGATAATTGTCCCTGCCATTCCTGTCACTTTGGTTGACATGCATCATAACTGTAATTATAGGATATTTCAACACTTTATATTTTCCAGTCACCTTAAAAGGATTAATCTACAAATCTACGTTGTGTAATACACAACGGCTTTTCTCAAACATCTGATCTGACTAACTGCAAATGCTATGAGTTGGTTCTCAGTTTAGTCTCTGTTTGACACGAATACATGTGGGTCTGTCTCTGTGTGTGTCTATTAGACATCCTTGAATACCTCTGTTGAACACATGAATATCAGATAAAAAATAAGGTTATACTTTAAAAAAATCCAAAGTTTTAACATTAGAACAATTAGATATTTCAAGCCAAACAAATGGCTTTTTGTAAATGTTCTCATATCTCCAGCCTGTGCGTAATCTCACTGATTATATAGTGAAAGTTTTGTTTACCTATAGTAGTATTTGTACAATTCCCGACCTCCCAAGTATTTCAGAATAAAATGTTAGTGATGTCGCACACTTACTCTCATGGCGCTGTGCTGAAATCATGTCTAATGAGACCAGCTGTATCTAACTGACGATTTGTCAATCTGCGAGGGTTGTTTACAGGGTGATGTTTATTAGGGTTGAATGTATTTCCTTAGTAACATTTTCCCCTTCTTAAATGGATATACATGGAAAAGCCGAGGGACCAGCAGCTGCATACCCACACTAAATCCAGCTTAGTATGAAAATAAAAAAAAACACAGTTCACAAAATCTAGAAGCTTATTTTGACTTTATGTCTTATTTCATTTAGTAATTTGTTATTTTATAGCGCAACTTTAAGCAATGCAGTTTGCATACTTGAAGTGCTTGTATTGCTAAAAGCATAGCGGATTCATAAAGTCTGTGGTTTTTATAAGCTTTCCAGATACAGTCACTCCTGAGTCCTGCTGGATTACTCTCCCCCAAGGCCTGAGATTGCTTAAACAGGGGCTTCCCCAAAAACCACACTGCAATTGCATAAACATCACTGTTGACACTAGTTAAGGCAGCTTCCTAATTGAAGTCCTTTAAGCCACAATTGAAGAATGGGATCTGGATTTGATCAAGCAGGGGAGAAAACAGGAACTAGGAAGTGTTTGTGTAAAGCAAAATTGGCAGCTACGGAGGCATTCTTCAACAAAATAACCATAAGTAAAGTTAAAGTTAAAAAAAATCATAACTATAACTGTAATACATTTGAATTTACATCAAACTGTTTCTCCATTCAGCCCTTTTCTAACCGATTCTTCCAATTCAGGATCTCAGTGGAGAAAGATCCTATCCTGGCAAGCAATGGGCACAAGGCAGGGTACACCCTCCATGGGATGCACGTCCATCACAGGGCCAACACTCAGAGGTGCACACACTCACACCAGGGCCAATTTTTCTAGAAGCAAATTATCCTACCAGTATGTCTTTGGACTGCACAGGGAGAACATACAAACTCCATTGAAGGATACTGCTGTTGTATCCTTGAGCAAGGTACTTTACTCATATTATTTCTACTGGGTAACTGGATACACGCCAGCAAGTTGTCATTGTTTAAGGATCACCCAGAAAGTAAAGTAATGCCCCATATTAAAAGCAACTCCCACAGCAAGACAATGAAACTTTTAGTGCTGTAAGATTAAATTTTCCTGCTTCCTGTTGCAGAGTTCCAAAATATTTTTACAAAAACCTGTATCAACTCTGACCCTGTGAAGTCGTGCATAAAAACATGATAATACAAAAGCATTAAGTATTAAGCATTAAGCATTACTTTCTGGGTGGCCCTCAGAATTTGTTCTCAATTGATTTAATCGGGTCAAATATAGGATTTACGTAGTGGGATTAAATGTGCTACATTGCCATCTAGTGATATAATTTAGTTGTTGCCAAATTTTCAAAACGCATTTTGTTTAATAAAGGGTCTGAGGTTAAAGTCGGAGATAAGACAGATAAACACTTCTCTGTCAATCCAGGAAGGGATACAAATATTTATTAACTCAATTCCTAGACTGATTTTCCTTCAAGGCTTTTCTTTGTTGTTTGTGCTTTTAAACGACAAGGTCAGTTGGATTTCAGATGATTTACTGTATATAAAACCTGTCACTAAACTCAGTAGTTGCTACAACTTCAATAAAACACAGATGTCTGCCTGTAGGTAATCAGCACAGTCTATATCCTATTCAGCAGTGTTTTAAAAGAGCTGTACTGAAAGGGTTTAGATGCTGAAGTGGGGAAAATAACTGTCTCTATAAAGTGACAGCTCTATATAGTAACTGAAGCACAACAGAATCCAGAAACCAATAACACAAGTTAAAAATGCTGGAATGAGATGATGACTATCTTGGCCACATTCTGATAGGTAGGTAGGTTGGTCCCAATCCAGGCCATCAAGGCCCTTGCCCCCCATTCTCAACCATCTGGAGGTGGAGGTGATGTGGTCAGCATCACACTCCGGCCAGCCTATTACCCCCGGAAGGATTTACCCCTGGTACTCATTTGGAAAGCAGGCTGAGTGGACCTAGGAGCCATCCGGAAGGAATCAGAGCAAGCTACATACTGTACTAGCTCCTACTTGGGATTGAACACAGGACCTTCCTGTCAGGAGCTAGATGCCTGTGCCATCTGAGTTACCACGGCTCCAACCACATTCTGATATACGATGAAAATCAGAGTGTGATGCCACAATACAGTTTCACTCTAGCAGTCAACATACAGTAAGCAAAATTTTATGCTCACTAAGCTGCTTTGGTAATCCATATGAGGTAATCGATATCCCCTGGAACTTTTCAACGTCTTTGTAGTTAAAGGCGAACCGCAGGCCCAATATCTCCGACAGGTTGTTAAATCTTGGTAACAAAATAAATTCGTTGATGTTATCGAAAAAATGTACAAAATCCTGAACTTTGTGAAAGTACTGTAAGTTGCAATGTTGTCACAAACTCACATTCCAGTTTCCACTGATGTGGGATGTGAGGCGGTCCCTTCCTGCTCACTAGTCACTGTAATGATTAATGTAATGTGATGTACAAGCAAATAAGTACAGCTTGTGCAGGTTCTACATGCAGACGTAACCAGTAATATTTGTCAGCAAAACTATCTCAAAATCGAAAGCAATATTTCTATTGGATTAAAAGAGATGCTATTCACAAGCCTGCTTGTTTACAATGTCACTGGAAGTTTTGTTGTCTTGTTCTGAATCACAGAATATGGAGCTGTGCATACCTGGAAATTTAGTTGATTTTGTGGCATAAATTGGAAGTTTTACAAGTTACTGTGTATATTTTACTTTTATTTTGGTTTGAAATGCGCTCATCAAAGGTGATTCTTTCTAACCTTGAAATATAAAAATAGTATTGCAGTTCCCCTATTATAAATTATGAAAATGTACTCTATGGTGTACATTTTCATAAACCATATTGTTCTGTGTCGCACAGTCCCAGTCTTTGTGAAAATTCCATTTAAAATAGTGACAAAGATTATTAGCCACACATGGATGTGCTTTTGCATTTGTAAGCAAATTTTCCAAGATGTATTCTGTTCAGAGAAAAACAGAATACTTTTAATAGTGTTATAGCAATCTGTCTACACTAGTAGCTAACAAACCTTCTATCTATCAGTCTATTAATAGCCTTCAACTGCTTTCAGTAAAGCACATGGTGAACATTACCAGAATAATAGTGCTCTTGATGAAATTACTTGTAAGTCTCTTCTAAAAGAACCATATTAAAAGTAATTAGTTTGTTCTATGTCAAATAGCTTATTTTGGTTTGATATTAAGCTACATTTCATTAACCATAATTTTGTTTACTCAGACAATTGCTATGCAGACATAAGTTAATTTGATTAATGCATTTTAGGCTGTCTTGTACAGTACAGAGTGCTCTATCTTTTTTGATAACTGTTTAATATCTTTGTTTAAAAGAAATTTGTATGCATCATGGAACAAAACTAATTTGAGTATGGAATACTATATTCTATAATATACAGTAAGTGTAACCTTTGACCTTATCTAGCCTATTTGGATTTCTTATTCCTCACGCTAGACACATTTTTATGTCAGACAATACAATTTCTTCAATATAAACTTTGTTGGTGTCTGTTGGTTTAAACAACGTTGGTATTATCAAAAAATCATTTATTTTTGTTGGCATCACAGTGAAAACCAGATGAACACAGGAATGATGTCTACAGCAGTTAGTAATGCCAGTTCCTGTGGTTTTGAGGGAACTTACGTTGTTCCTTTTAAACAATTTGGAGGATTGCACAACTTCTGCAAATATTTCAGAGCAGAAGTCCACTGATGACCATACTGTCTCATTTACTTTTTAACACCAAATTCTCAGGTTGAATTTTTGTATGAGTGAATTTACAAATCTACAACAGTACCTGCATCTATAGCTGATGAAATCCTTCTGTATTTGTGCATCAATTATTTAGCTAACAGATTAAAAGAAGATCCTTAATGATAACAGAAGCTGACATTAAAAATTGAAAATCATACTCAAGAAAAATGTTTAATTAATCTGAATATTGATAAGGCTATTGCTATAATTCTATAATTAGATTGATACTGCTGTCAGCCGAGTAGGTTAAGAAAATTACAGTATCTCAGAGTTATTTTTTTTTTCAGATTTCCATTTAAATATTTCTGAGTTATATATTTCATAGAAATGAAGGAATTAAACTATTCCTCTTCAAATCACAAAATTCAGGCACAGCATTTCTATATTAAACAACAGCTTATTAAAAAATATTTTATGTCAATGTACTGTGAAAAAAATGAGAAGTGAATGGTTTAAAATCATATTACTCAATAGACAATGTCAACATAAACATATTTTTATTTAAAATAAACAATGATATTGCTTTTATTTTAAAAAGAATAGAAGTAATGCCATATAAAAATTATAAGGGACTTGACACAAATTCTAACATGCTTCACATTGATGGCAAAAGCTTGTTTATTAGAAATATGGCAAAATACAGAGAGGTTAAAAAGAAATTTTAATCTAAATTCAACATTCTTCCATTAAAACAATTAGCATTAAATTAAATGCCCAAATAATGTTAGCAAAATCTTCTGCCAATAAAATAAATACAAGAAAGAATTGTATCAATAAGAAAGAAAGAAAACAAAGAAAACACTCAAGGACACATGCATGTTAAAGCATCAAAAGGGAAATAATTTATTACTTACTTTAAAGAAGGATAAGCAAAACGAATTTAGCTTCTTTGTAAAAATAATTTCCCAACACACAGCTCTTTGATCTAAAATTCTGTTGTAAATCCAAAGATGTTATCATAGACATTCAAAGCATACAGTTTAGTCAAGGGAAAACTTTTTCACTCACATAACATGCATCTAACCCAATAAAAGCAGGCTACTTTCTGGTATTTTCCCCATCATGTTGTGCTTACATTGAGAACAAAACAATCCTTATCCACTTTCACAATGATCCACATTGACATGTTTTCCAGAAAACCGTTGTTCCTTTTGCAACTCACTGAACAAGATAATATGCTATGTGGGCAAGTAATATACTGTACATTATAAAGAGTTTCAAATAAAACAATCCTTATTCACACAAAAAATACAAGTTTCATCTTCAACAACAGTGTTCAGTCCCACTAAGCTAATGCAGTCATTGGGGCAAAAGGACTTTAAATAAATTCACCTACAGTAGAAAATAACTTTCTTGTTCTTGTTTGTGAATATACGTCCATAAACATCCATGTTATTTCCAGTTTCACATTCAATTACTTCAAAATGCTGCTGGCAGTACATGCTGAATGCTACATAGGAATAAAATAAATTAATTAGGTATTCATGTCCTTAGCTACATATGAATGTAATGTGTTTACATTGTGTGCTACATTTGTTCTACCTTTCTTAGTGCAAGAAGAAAATGATCATACTGTGCTTATATAATACTTTTTAAATTTCTGTTGACGTTCTTGCATTCTTATACAAGGAATGTCTACACTCTTAATGCTAGGGGTTTGTGTCATGCAAGTCAGACATACTGTAAATGCAGACAAAGGCAGTTTAATTATTTCAAGTTGACTCTTTTCTGAAAAATGCAAACATTTTGAAGTCAATGCCACATTTTGACCATTATTTAAATGAGAACAAACATTCACCAAACTTACAAAACAGAACTTATAACTATATAGCAATCTTAGAAGTGCAGTAAAGTAGTCCACGAGTTTTTTTTTCAATGTATGTCACCACAAACTAAAGATAAAGATTGCAATTGATAATCTGAGCAACAAATATTTTCTTTTATTATTTGGCTTTTCTATTTCTCAGCTAAGAGCAAATACATAATTAGCATATAATACTGCAATTTCATGGAAAAATAAATGAGAAAACTGTAAATAAGAATAAAAGTAATATATGTTTAAAAAATATATAGCAAGTTTAAAAGGCAATGCACAAGAGCCATATTGACTAAACTTGCAGTATTCTGCATTTAGTTTTGTACTTTAGCTGTTTTTGTTTTACTTTATATTTTTTTACTGAATTACTAACTTATTCTGTAAAGCTTACTAAATTCCACCTCTGGAGATATTCATTGTGGCCGTGTGAGCAGATACATGGCTTTTAGCTCTAAATTAAACAATTTATATTTAAAGAGTTTATTATAAGCCATAAGCATAGTGCGCATTTAAACATAAAAAAATAGAGATAATTTATGGCACCTTATTTCCAGTTGGCAGGTTGGGAGCTAACCAGCTTCAAGATGATATGATAATATTTGCATTCAGGTATTCAAGCCACTGATAACAAGTATTTTAGCTGTCATGAAATGATAAGATAAGATAAGATAAGATCACTTTATTAGCCCTATACAATTTCTTGCATTAGAAATTCGTCTTTTCACATACCGTAGCTTGCTCTCCATGAAACACATAGACAGGGAGAGAAGCTTGGGGTCAGAGCACAGGGTCAGCCATTGTACGGCGCCCCTGGAGCAGCTGGGGTTAAGGGCCTTGCTCAGGAGCCCAACAGAGTAGAATTCCTCTGCCGGCTGCAGGATTTTAACCAGCAACCTTCCAGCCACAGGTGCAGATCCTGAATCACAGAGCCCCCTGTCTTTTTTTTTTAAGTGCAGTTCTTTATATATTTTCATATACCTTGCAATCAGACAAATGCAAAATATTTAAAAAAAGAAAATTGAATTATTTTTTCTTTGTTTTATGTCAGTTAATACAAAACTTTTTTTAAACAAGCATATTACACTGTTTAACCTGATGGAACAATAAAAAGCAACAAAAAACAGCTTTTCAAACTTATTTTTGAAAGAATTTCTGAAGAATGGAGAAATCATACATTTAGCTTCCTATGGTCAAGCTCAGTGACAATGTTCGAAATTAATGTTCAGTATTACATTTGGAGAAATTTGTGCATCCAAAGCATGCTTCATCCACAAGGAAATTCATTATGTTCTTTAAAAATCACAAAAAGGCGCTTATGAATCTGCACTGTGTGATAAAAAATCAAAAACAATCTGTGTATTGTGTACAAATAACCTGGGAAAGTAGGCTCTAAAATCTGCATCGCTAGTCGAAAGCACAAAATTCATAGCTTTCATTTCCCCCCTGCAAAAAAAACAAATATGCTGACTTGGTACAACAGCTTAGGGAAAAATAGCTACCTTGTGTTTTTCCAGCTGCTGAAAGGTTTGACTTTTATTAGCTACTAGAACATGAACTGGAGTACCTAAGCCTCAGAGTATCCATGGTAATTTAGTCTAATTTTATAGCCCACAAATTATTTATGACACATTAAAAAGTGATACAGTATCTAAGGCATACAGTTTCATTGTATTATATTCTGTAGAGTAGAAGAACAAGTAGAGGAAGCTTTTTTTAATTGAGGGTTTCCTTTGATACTGTTGCTGCCATGAGTTCTTGGAGTTTATTTTCCAAAATATTGTCAGTATTCCAGTTTTCGACACCCATCAATGATTTCCTTTCTACATCTATCAGCTCTAATGCAAACATCCATTGGACAATCACATTGTTTTTTGTAATGGGGAAAGAGTTCTCCATTCACTTAATTTCAGTATTCCCTGTGAAAGCTCAATCTGTCCTTCCTCTCTCAGAAAAGAAAATCTTAAAAAAACACTGTGAAATATCCTGGAGTTAAACAAAAGGGTGTGTGTAGACAGTGTAGAAAACCATCTTCAGCAGAACTGATAGTTATTGGTTTTCATCAATGGTTGGTCTTCTTCTCCTTGGTCACATGAGTCTTCGGAGCACTTCGGGGCATCACAGGGTTCAGGCTGTTCATCTACAGCATTGCGCTCAACATTCTCATAGATCTGTTTTCAAAGGAATTCAGGAGGAAAGTCAGATCCTAATCTCACCTACTTCCTGTCTTCTACATATGCAGTATATAGGCTCCTTAGCTGTTTCTTGCACCTGTCTCACTAGTGTATAAACACCCTTGGAGTACTGAGGTGGGTTCGGTCAGCCTCATCTTTACAGTAAGGCTGCCTTTCCCTCAGCTGGATAAATCAAGCCAACAACTTTTAACACTTTTGTCACAGTATGACATTTATTAGGATCTGACCAAACTACTGAATACGTGTTTTGGAAAACACTGCCTGTATGACTTCGCAATTTTATTCTAAAAAGTATTTTTGTTTGTTATTATCTGATAATAGAAGTCAAAATAAAGAAAGCAGGCAAGTTAAGAATGTACAGTAACATGGTAAAACCTCCTCTCACCTGGTGTGTTTGATCTCCCAGCAGTCTCTGAATGAGCTTGCCTATTTTGTCAAAGGTGGGGCGCTTAGTTGGTTCAAGGTTCCAGCACATCTTCATGATTGTGTACCTAAGGAGAAGTTTTGAAAGTCTCTAGCCTTTTTAAATAAAGAATTTACAGTCAAGGTTTTTGACCTTAAAAATATAGTAAATACTGTGACTAGCGTCTCTCCACAAATTATCTGGGGTCTGGCCTTTATCCATGGCATTCCACCCCTGATATTCCCAGAACTGGCAAAGAGTTATACAGTACTAAGATCATGTGGCTAACATGCAGAACTAAAGACAAGACACACACAGAGTATTAATATATATAAAAACAGGAACAGATGACCAACACTTACTTTAGCAGGCTGCAATAATTCAGGGAAGGTATTTGCTATGTTCTTGGAATGGAAGTTTACAAAACGATTTCCCCCCCTAAATGCCCCCTACTAGTTTCCTACTACTATAGGAAAATGATATATTATGTACTGTACCAAGCTTAATAATAACTGTCTAGCTGAATCACAAAGTAAACACAGGAATGTCTCCAGATTTCTGACCATATACAGTACTATTAGACTTACATTTCAGGCAGTGCGTAATCTGGTCTCGACATCTGGTAACCATCTTTGATCATTTTGTAGAATTTGGTATCAACCAGTATGTTGGGATAAGGGCTCTTACCTACAAAAATAAAACAATCATTTAAAAAATTAAATATTGCATCTCAAATGGGCTTACAAGGTCTTTTCAATGGACGTCAATAAGTGACGTTTGGGAGGGATGGCAATGATAAGTCAATCTCACACAGCTGTACCAAATCACCATCACCACCAAACTAGCTACATAAACCAACCAGAATCCCTCACTTTGTATTCATCTCAAGAATACCTCTTCCGTCCCATCTCCACTTTTTGCTCCACATGTCTTGCATAGTGTAAATCACAAAACATGAAATAACATTATCTTTCCTCTAGCTAGAGAGTGGTAGGTCTGTACAAGATGGCAGCTCTTGTCTGAAACCACATTCCCCAGAGAACAGTGGTGAATGACCTGCTGTGTGCAGTAATCTAACCAATGAGTGGATGATGATTGGTCAGGTGACATATAAAACCAGGAAGCGACCTGCTACCTGCTACCAGCGGTCATTGACCTCTGCTAATACGGACGCAAGCAGGATCTCTGCTATGCTCAGCATGTGAGACGGAAACAGGGATGCAACTGACTGACTACTCAGGAACAAGATTTTGTGAGGGTGAGTATTTTAAATAGTTTCAGAGAGTGATTTTAAATCTTGGTATGAGACTGACTTGAGAGATAAATTATTTTTGAGAAGAGTTTTGGAACAAACTTATTCTGGAGCCATCAAGCAGCTTAGTAGCCTGGCTGTGCTTTACAGAAGGATTTATGATGTTTAGCTACAGCTCAGACAGAGCTAGATGTTTGTTATGTTTTGGAGTATATTGCCACATTGTAAATAGAAGAGCACTTATTTTTACTTCATAGTTACTGTACCATTGTGTATCTGTTTTCCCTGAGTCTCGCCTATTTAAATCCTGATAGGCTCCCTGTCCCATCATATACTGCAACACAGCATCATCATTTATAATATATACAGTAACTACTTCAGACCATATTGAATTTACAGAGCTGTTTTCAGGTTTTTGCTTTGTCTAACACATGGAAAGACCACAGTAACATCAGAGAGATCCTGTCTTACCCAGAGAGAATATTTCCCACAGGAGAATACCATAGGACCAGACATCACTCTGTACAGTGTAGACACAGTCAAAGATACTTTCTGGGGCCATCCACTTGACTGGGAGACGTGCCTGTGGATAAAGTATTATTCAAAAACAAGTCTGCCAGTTTCTTTAAAAACATTGCATTTCCGTGTCATTGACCTAAAAAAGGTATCATATTTATCAGTTGTGTGACAAAGAAGAAAGAAATACTGGTTTCTGGCTCAAAAATACTGATCAAAATGTGAAAGCAGCAGACTCCAATAAAGAATTTCTGTTTAACCCTGTAATTCAGAGGTACAGTATGTACTAAAACATTAAAACCTGGACTTGAGCTATATCATCTCCAGAAATCTAATATGAAAACTGGCTCAGGTTGTGAACAAGGCCTATTGTGTCATCTCAAGTGGTTTAAATTGTTTTACAGTGTGGAATTAAGAATCTGTAGAAAGTGAAACAATATATAATAAGAAACAGGGCAAAATGACAGAGTCAGAAGGAGTGGTGTTTAAAGAGATCAATTAGGCGGGGTTAGAGACACTCCCACAATTTAAAATTAAGGAAATTCAAACACATTTTCAAAACAATGCAACTGAAAGAGTTGTTTTTTTTATCCTTTGTTCATGATGTTCACTCACATTTCCTTTTACCACATAGCTGGAATCGTTCATAATATCTCTGGCCAGCCCAAAGTCACAGATCTTAGCGATGCGCCCATCAGTCAACAGCACATTCCTTGCAGCCACATCCCTGTGAATACACTACAAAAAGAATGCAAGTAATGACTGTTGATGAGTAATGAAAATAAAACTGCTGTATGTTACTGCAACTGATCAGCTTGAAAGAAACAATGCATAGCTACTTCTGTATTGAGCACGTGACGCTCAGGCTAGTCTCTTAATCACAGTGATTTAAGAAACAAAATCAAATGAATTGCAGCTGGTAATGTATATAATATAAAATATGACAGTTTGATGAAAATAAATTAAATTGACCTTTTTTTGTTTATTATTTACAGTACACTCAAACCAATATCCTGTTGTCCTTCAATCATATAATATTGTTACAGCTGTACTGTAGGTAACTATGCATGTGTCTCAAAGAATTTAGAAACAATGGGTAATGCCTAGCTAGTGTTAACATTTCCAGGTTCAAATGGGGGTTTTGCTGAGATATAAGGGGTCCAGATTCAGTGATCAAAGCAATGTAAAGTTTACCTTTGTTTACCTTAGTTAATTACGTTTTGGGTAGATGATTAAGTAATAATCAACAGTCCAGAAAGACACCAATAAGCTTAGTTCAAGATAGAATAGAGGCTTTGAGGATCAGAAAAGAACAAAAGAAGACAGGAATACACACCATGAAAAGCATGTGCCTGGTGAAAGGTCCTTGTCTAGATCATCCATAAAGATCAGGTCTGAGCTAAAATATTTGAACCTGGCTAACAGAGCTTGCTATTCTGTGTTAGGGAACTCTGATTTCATGAGTGAAGAATCCCTTGGTTAAAAACAGCCTCTTCTGGTTTATGAGTGCATTTCAGAAAACGGAGATATGTTCCCATTCATTAAGTGACATCTGAGTTTTCTATTTAGTTCAGAAGGCAGCATTAATTTATTCTGGCTTTTGTAGGCATTCAGAGTTGAGCACTTGGTTAAGCCTTGGGTTTTTCTGGGTGGTTAGGACGTTAGGTGTCTGGGATGCCTTGTCTTTAATCTTGTATTGTACGTTGGGTACATATGGTAATGTATGTTGTTAGTTGATGTTGTGTGTAGTGTAGTGTGTGTCATTGTCATTGTTAATAATTATTTGTTTAACCAAGTGTGCCTGAATTATTACTCTTTTCACCAAAATTGTGCCAGAGAACAAAGACATCCCTCTACCTATACAAACTGCTCAGATATATTCTTGTTAAAATCCTTACAAATTAGGGGTTATGATTATTTATTTTACTTACTGAATTATCTGCTTGGTCATTACCTGATCTTCTCAATTTTTGTAATCCCTCCCATTTTTTAACAATATTAAAAATATTAGCATATTAATTTATGAAAACACTAAACTACCTAATGAAACATAGAGCCCCGGCTTACATTTTTCTCAGCCAGGAAAGACAGTCCTTGTGCCACTTGGTAGGAGAACCTTAGTAAGTCATCCATGTCAACTGGCCACGTATCTTCTTTAGTTTCATCACAATTGGTGTCTGCGGACCACAAGAAAACACAAAGTTTCAGAAATTTGCTTCCTTGCCAGCATTTGGGAAAAAAAGTCATTTTTGAACATAAATCTTGTGTAAACATGCTTGTCATTGTCTAATAATAATAATAATAATAATAATAATAATAATAATAATAATAATAGTAGTAGTAGTTGTAGAAAATGAATCAATAATAATTATAAGAATAATTTGCATTCATGTTGCACTTTTCATCACAAAAGATCCCAAACAACTGATTTGTACACACTAAATATATACCACATTAAATATTTTCAATGTAGTATATATTTTTCTGCTTTTATATACTATATACTTTTATATATACTTTTTCGGGTTTATTTCAAGGAGCTGTAATTTCCAAATTGTTTTTTGGTTCTGTGCGTAGCACCTCCATATAAATGCAAATTGAAGTTGCAGAAAAATGAGGTAAAAAGAAGAGTTAAGCTATATACTGTAGGATGTTACTAGCCATGCAATGTTTTTGAGAATTAATGCTGTTATTAAAAAGGGCAAATTGCGAAGATTTACTTAGAGCTGCATGTGAAGGCATAAATCCAGGCTTCATCTCCAGGTACCCATCCGAGCAGGCGCTTGAAATGCCACTGTCACTGCATAACCAGAGAAAATTCAGAAATAATTTGAACCTCAAAAGACACTGTTCTTAGATATAGCGATAAGATTTAATCTTGAAACATACGATTCTCTAAAGGGGAAAATATGCCAGGTTCAACATTACTTATTATTTTTAAGAGACTACACAATAATAGCAGCTAAAGCATGATTTATGTAGCGATGATGTCTAGTATAATTAACAAGTATTTGGTTTATGTTGTGTACCTTCTTATGTACTTCTTCTCAATGCACAAATTCTTGTAGTCATTGACTTCTTCCATTCTGCTGGGCCCACTCATGTAGGCCAGAAAAGTTTCAGCCTTGTTTCTGAGGAAGTTCAGGAGGTCTCCATAACTACAGTATTCAGTGATAACAAGCACTGGACCTGAATGTAAATGCAGCAAAATTCAAAATTACAGTCTCAGAGAAATGCTTTTTTCTACTTTTGTGGTTGAAAGAAATGGCAAATTCAAACTGATGACAAACAATAGTTTTGTTCATTTCTGTAACAAATACAATATGATGGATTTTTAAAAAGATGTTATGGTCCATTTCTGTCTTACTTGTGTGTTATACAGAGATTGTGAAACACTAATACTGGAAACAGTTGTCATGTGTCTATATATAGAGTACATATTGCAAAGGACCCCTGTCACTTTTTTGCAATGGAGGATACACCCAAACAAAGCAAGAGGCTATGGTAAAAGAGTATTGCTTATCAGTGTTCTTATTCAGTTCCAGGAAAAGAATGCTTAGTTTTGCTATGATTTTGTATGTAAATGATTTTCCACTAGAGAGGAAATTCAAATGAGATGGATTCACTTTGTGAAATGTAAAAATTAAATCCTACAATCCCTTTCGAGTCTTCAGTTTAAACTATTTCATAATATAAAGGCCAATGTCTGAATTCTATGAGCATCCCAAAACTTTTACTTAACTTTTATAGATTTCTAAAACTGATAGAAAACCTACTCGAGTACTTTGTGACTGCGACTTGAGTCAATAATTTGACACCACCCAGGTATGAGTCAATAAATTATTGCCATATAAGATATAAACAAGAGTTTCCAGAGAAACTATCACATCAGAATTTTCTGCAGTCTTAAAATTGATGTTTTGAATAGATTTCAGGATGTTGGGTGGTCCTCAAATTCAAACAACAAATGCATTAAAAGAAAGCTGACATACACAAAAGCAAACAGAGCCAAACATACCTCCATGTGTACAGGCCCCCAAGAGATTTACAATATTCTTATGATGTCCCAAGTGACTCAAGATCTTCAGTTCAGACATGAGAGCTTCTCTTTCATCGGAATGGGCACTGGCTGCAAAATAAATATAAGCATAGGTATTTAGCCATTTACTGTATACTGTATTTTGCTTTATATTTTAGTTTTTTTAATTTAATGTATCATACCTAACCGAAATTGCAGTCGTTGCATACTTTTTAATAAACCTAACTAATGTAGTCAGACTCTTACTAACAGATTAAGTAGTGGAGATTGTAAATCTCTAAAATTTACATTTTACTGTACATTTCTGTTTCATATGTTTCTGTAAACAGACCTAAAATAGCCTTTTCATCTTAAAAGTAGACACTGGGAAACTTCAAGAATGTATTTTTAAGAATGTCAGAGAAGACGTTTCTGGAGCTAAAAATGAATGGTAGAAAAAAGGAACAAAGCAAGATTGAATTTGAACCAAATTCAGTTGACTAGATTGTTGGGCTTGTTTGGAAAAAATAAAGATTGAATGGATTAAACAGATTGTACGCTGCAAAGACTTACGCTTGAGCATCTTGACAGCCACACGGACAACATTGTCCTCCTTTCCCAGGCCATAGGCTGTGGCTTCAACCACCTTCCCAAAAGCTCCAGCACCCAGGATTTTCCCTGCAAGAAATCAAGCATGACAATTGCTTCCTTAGTCCATTTACTTACTGGAAAAAAGACAATAAAATCTAAATTAAAAACAGATATTTTGTAAAAGTAATGATAAGACACTGCTGCCAAGAAGACAAAAAGAAACAGTCAAAAGAATAACTCAACTCATCTGAAAATTTAACTTGTGAAGATAGTTCAATTGACTTTATCACTGTTTCGATTTCATTGCTTTTAATAGTTCAGAATCATCCATTATATTACAAAAAGGCTAAAAGGGACTTACAGATATATTTTTTTACTTAACATTATTTACATAATCCTGATAAGGTGAGTTTTTATTATAAAAAATGATAGAAATTTTGATAGAAATGATAAGGATATTGTTTAGATAGAGAACACATTCAATGATGGTAAGATGGAAATATGTATCATGCTTCTCAAATACAACTATTTCATGTATTTTATATGTGATACAGAGAGAGAAAGGTCTGCTTTTTAAGGTCAGACAATGTTATAAACAATTTTTCTCATGTTCTTGTTTATTAAGAAGGACACTGAAAAGGCTTATGAAATTGCTTATAAAAAAGGAAAAAATAAAGCTTCACACTGCATTGAATGTGAAGGCTCTTTTTTATAAGCAAATAGAAATAGTTCAAAAGACATGTCTACCTTTTTCTTTTGCTTTCAATGTGAGTTTGCAGACAAGATACAAAAATACTGGGAAGCAGGTATAATGCTCATGTACATCAAACCACACAAGATTCTACACCCTAACCTCAAACATCCACCAATCTGTGCTTCTCAATATCCTTTTAAGCATGCTGGGTGACAGAACCTAGATTAGCAACTAATTCTAAGTTATTACTGGAACCGAAACCATACCTAGACGAAGTTTGTCTCTGGGGAACTCCCATTTCTCATTGTATGGCAGTTGTGTGGGATCAATAAAGGTGTAGTTGTTCCCATCACTGCTTTCAATGATCTTCCAACGGATTTCATACCTTGGTTTCTGAAAACAGAGAACTTTGTATAAGATTGGTATGGGCACATACAAAGGACTGCAAAATTGTCAGAATAAATGTTGTGGATGAAGATGTACTCAAAATGCAAAAGCAGCTTTCTCTCAAACCAAAAGTTTCGTTTGTTTTAGTTTGAAAGTTTAAATGAAGTGTGTGAAGCCTGGTCTGTGGCCTTCTCATCATTCTCAACAACGAGGAATAAAACAGGCAAAACATCCACCTCAGACACTTTAAGAGCAAAACAGGTATAATGAAGTAAAAAATAAGTATCCCTTTTTTTGGATTGCATGTATTGTTTTTTTGTGTGAGTGAAATGACTCTCTAGTATCTCACTACAAAAACTTTGTTCTCATCTTTAGCAATTATGGTTATCATCTGTCTTATTGTAAAAGTATCAGTTGAAACCAAACTTGTTTTTGTCTATTTCTGCAGACTGTTCCATCCCTGTTGCATGTCTTGGGGCCTGGTGTGGCTTTTCGCTTGCATAATCATCTGCTTCAAAACGGATGACCACCAAACCTCTTTAAATCTGGATTTAGACATTAACATTGCACAACAATATATTGCTATGGCTGCCAATTTAGATTCATTGTCTGTTCTTGTAATGTTGATCTCGATGCATCTCCACTGTTAACTATTAGTAATTCTTAACTATTTGCAGCATACTGTATGGGTGTCTCATGCCAAGCTTTTAACAGAGTCAGATTTTATTTGTCCATATGTCTTATGGCATTCCCAAGGGTTTAATTGAGGGACACCTTGTAGTTTTCATCTCTGTATTAACTCTTCCTCAGATTACTTGTCAAGCCATAGGTTGTATTTCTTCATCAATACTGTTCACATTTACTGGCACATTGAACTTCACTATGAACTGGAAGTTTATATTTAGTTTTTTTCAGGCATTTCAGATTCTGTTAAAAAAATTTAAAAGTATTTTATAGAGGTATATGCCATGCGATTTGTAAAACACAGAACGTATGTGTAATAGAATGATGTTAATTAAAATTTTAAATATACAGGACAATTATTAATAAAATGTCATACCTGTTTATACTTGTATAAAAGGATAATTAGAAGCACCAGGAAAAGACAAGCCACTGCCACTGATCCTGCTAGAGTTGTTGTGAAAAGAGGTGTACCTGTAATGTGATATCAGGGACTTTTATTAGAAGAATCAACAAAATACTTTTCTTCATTAGGATTTCTGTCTGCTTCACAACAATGCCTTAGCTGAACCAGAAATCATAGGATGAAGTCTGGTGACTGGGGTAAAATAGAGCAATGACAGGTTTATTTTATATGCAACAATTCTACTCAACTACTGTACACTTAAATGTTACTTAAATGTACATTTAACTGCACAGACAAATGAAAGTAAAGATCTTATATTTAGCTTCACTTCAATCCAAAAAGTCCTGGTTCAAAGTTTCAGATCTTTACAGAAAATCATCTCAAAACGAAAAACATACAGTTAAACAGTTGAGTTTGAGTGGATACTCTGATCCACAGTTTCTAGTCTGAAAGATTTGTGTTGTTCTGCAGTCTTACGTAAAACTTCAGTAGTAAACGATGCATGGCCCTCTCCAGCAGAATTTGATGCCACACACTCCACAGTCATCCTCTTAGTGAAGGGAAAGACACCCATGGAGCTCTCCACTATGTAAATCCCATCGTGTTCCAGGTATATACCAGAACTTTCATCTGATGAGAGCAGCTCAGAAGTTCCTGTTTTATTGCCTTTGCACCTGCGGGCCCAATAATAATCAACATTTAGGAAGGTCACACTGCAATATGGTAGGATCTAAAGCAAAATCAAAAATAAATTCAGAGGTGAATCTGAAAAATGTGCATTCGTCTTTTCATGCGCCTTTTGCAGATGCAGAGTTCTGTGTAAGAAAGCAAGTGCAATGGACTTTTTTTCTATACATACGTGGATATGATTCCTGAACATTGGTACCACTGAATGTTGGGAGCAGGGTACCCAGATGCTGTACAGGTCAAGCGGCTGGTGTTATGCCATTTCACTGAAGCTTTAGGCTTCTCTGCCAGAGGGAAGAGATAATTCAACTTAACAGGTGAAAGCAGATTTTAGATTGCATTCAAACATTGCAGGATGCTACAAGAAGCTTTACCAGCAGCAGTGATATGCCACCAGCCATATCACCCTGCAACTTACAACTGGCAACCCACTGAAGCTAAGCAGGTGTGAGCCTGGTCAGTACCTGGATGGGAGACCTCCTGGGAAAAACTAAGGTTGCTGCTGGAAGAGGTGTTAGTGGGGCCAGCAGGGGGTGCTCACCCTGTGGTCCACGTGGGTCCTAATGCCCCAGTATAGTGAGGGGGACACTATACTGTGAACAGGTGTCGTCCTTCGGATGAGACGTAAAACCGAGGTCCTGACTTTCTGTGGTCATTAAAAATCCCTGTTTCTCGAAAAGAGTAGGGGCCAAATTTCCCATTGGCCCTTACCAATCATGGCCTCCTAATAATCCCCTCTATGGGGATTAGGGGTAATAATAATAATTGAATTGGCTTCATTACTCTCTGCTCTCCTCCCCACTAATAGTTGATGTGTGCGTTCTGGCGCACTATGGCTGCCGTCGCAACATCCAGGTGGAGGCTGCACATTGGTGTTGGTGGAGGGGAGACCATTACCTGTAAAGCACTTTGAGTGGAGTGTCCGGAAAAGCGCTATATAAGTGTAAGCAATTATTATTATTATTATTATTTACAATGAAGGATTGCAACAGACCTAGAAACATAGGAGATGGTGAAAGATGCAGGAACATATTCACAAATAGTTATGGTTAAAAATAAAACTCAACTCAATTTTAAATAAATTATTAACACTATCAAACTGTATTTTCCACAGAAAAGGTTTAAATTATCTGTAGATAGAATTGGAAAAATGCAAGGGAAAGCTGTATTGTAAATTGGCACTACCCCTTCAAATATTACAGCACTGTATGGTGATTATGAAAAATTCGTTTACTTTTGTAGTAGGTCAGAAACCAGCCTGGTTTTAACTGGTCGAGTAAGATGGAGGTTTTCTTAGAAAGTGAGATATTTGGTATATAGATGACATATTTAGTCCTGAGATGTAATATGAACTTACGGTGTAGCCGAACATGAAACTTAATTGAAGCATTTGCCTTGGTGCTCCTCGCATAGAATATGTACTGCCCATGTTCTTCAGTTTTCATTCTCTTTAGTAAAAGATTTGCCTTATATCTGCAGAAAAAACACAGACTCAGCATAAACTCACAACTCAGTAAAGTTTTGGGTTAATGAACTCCACTGAAGTTGAAAATGTGGTAAAGACTATACACTACTTCCCTAAAATGGACGTCACTTTGCTCTTTTGTCTTTTTAAAGTCTCCTACAGTATGCTTCCTCTTGAGGAGACCAATTTCATAATAACTTTTGTTGACTTTTGTTAACTTTTGTTGACCAAAGGTAGACCATCAGCAGTTTCAGAAAGTAACAACTGTCTTCTCTCTTTTATGCACATTCAGATTTGAGAAAAACAAACCCTGTTTTCTCAAACAACAGATATTTGAGGAGTGAATAACCTTGAATATTTAGCATGATTATTTTCTCTGATATCCAAAAGACACGAATAAAGCAGAAGTAAAACCAGAATTAATCAAAATTATTCTTCAATAATGAGGAAAGCAATTGTAAAACTTCAAGGATATTATTAAATGATTCCTTTCAGTTATGAATCCCCTTACTCAGCTAATTCAATTATACTACCCTTGCACAGATCACAATCCTTTTTTTCAGTTTCCATTAAGAGTTACAATTTTTGCAAATCCAAGATGCTTGTATCAAAACAACAAGACAAATAGCACCTGTTGTTGAATTCTTCGAAGTGTTCTTCATGTGCAGAAGTATTATGAGTTCTGGGTGTATCCCATTCTTTTGCCACAATGGCAGGGTAGGCCTCAATCAACACCTTCAGCTCCAAATCCTGTCCTTCTTGCACTTCAAGGCTAGTATTCTGTGGGGTTGAGAGCCTAATGTAAGGTTTATCTGCAGAAAAAAAAAACATTTTGTAACTGGAAAACAACTCCTATGGCAGGATGCTGTTAGGTACTATGAACTTAATACTCAGAATACGCTGGAACTCAAAAACACACATTTCAATCTAAACCACAATGACACTCAGATTGCTGTTAGATTGGTGCCAACGTACAGTTTGTCATTGGAGGGAGTGCTAAGGCCTCTTGACGACTTCAGTAACCTACCTACAACTTGCAGATAAGTTGTAGAACTGTTTACGCCAGCCTCATTAATTCCAATGCAGGTTATATTGCCTGTGTCTGACATGCTCACTTTAGGGATAGTCAATATACTCCTTATGGCCAGTCGACTACCCTCAGAATGAGCTGCTTCTGAAACATTCAATGCCTGAAACATAAACGAGAGAAGATTTGAACAGTAACTTATATCAATATCTGATAATTTGGTGTCTAGTACTGTGTAGAGTGTAGAGTGTAGATTTTCTGGATCTAGAACAAATCATAGAATTAAATAATGTTTCATATATACTTGCATCAAAGATTAAGTATCTACACTACTGAGTAAATTCAAAACAAAACAAACAGATAACTGTCTTTGGTAGATTATAAATTCACTATAATAAACTACATCAAGTTCCCAGTCCAGGAATTTACATTAATCCAATAAAATATGATAAGGGTCTTGTATGTACTGCATTAATCATAGGGCTTTAAGATTTAGTCTGCAAAGTGTTCAAGGCGTCCAATTGTGAAAAAAAAAAGATTACAATTACTTCAAGGTATTTGAAATGGTTCAAGGCAGCACAGATGACTGAAAACCAAATGAAAGGTATTTCATGCTTCCTCAGCAAGAATAACAAATAGAAGCATTAAGATGTTTCAGTCCTGCTCTTTCTACTAGCAGTTCTTTCATACTTTTCTCTTGAAAATGTATCTCAGGACTCACCTTTCTTGTTGAGTGCTTCCAGGTAACATTATAATTAAAGTTTGGATTGTGTGTGGTGCAACTTATTTCAAGTTTCTCCCCAACAATGCGTATGTACTCATCTGTCTCCAGAAACACGTAGGGTGGGAGACGCAGCTCTATGGGCAACAGAACAGACAAATTGAATTCTCAGGCTCAAACTCATCATTGCTTCGTCGAAAAGTAAGACGAGAAGCTAGAAGAGGTTGGCTTACTTTGAATCACATTGATGGAGAAAGCACTGGAGACCTTCTCGATGCCGTTCTTTGTGGCCCGGCAAACATAGTCGGCGTTAAAACTAGGCTGAAGGTTTTCGATGGTTATTCCTCTCTTTGGGTCAGCAGTGTAATTCATTCCTCGTGGGACAGAGCTGCCATTTTCCATCCGAAGCGAGAAGTCAGTGGCACTGGGATCGGTCAACAGGCAGGGAAGAAGAACGCTTTCCCCCTCCTTCTTCAGGAAATGATAGTTGTAGCTTCCTGTTATGAACAACTGACTAGAATCTGCAAGAAATGAACACCCAAACTCCTTTTGTCATTCTTTCTATATACTATTTCTGATCACATCAAGAGACATAGTGAGCAGTAGATCTGCTTAGAATGTATTATTTTTTCATTTTTAAGAAAATATATTTTACCTTATATATCCACATACTTTACTTCTAGTCATTCAATTTTTATGTATTGATAACAAAATAGCTCTTTTATGTTATTGTCCTCTTAGCATAGTATATATTTTTTTCAATATAGGCTAAACTAAAAGTCCTTGGGATTCACAACAATTATTTAAATTACATACATCACTTTATCTTATTTTATTTCAATTTTCCACGTATAAGATACTGTAAATTCTTTCTTATGGAAATAACCATATTTATATTACTATTATCATCTAATGGACGTTGCAAAATGTTTAAATTTCCTATGTGATAAAATGTAAAATCAAGTAATTTTATCCCATGTGATTATGAATAATCAAGAAAATGAAATCAAACTAAAGCAAAAAAACATTGTTTACCTTTTACATACACATGCACAGAAGAAAACAAGTCTGGTTGATTCTGATATGCACATTTGTATGTTCCTGTGAATTCAGATGACTGAACTCTGGCTCTGAAAATACTGGAGGTTCCATTGTTCTTTATATACTTCTTATATTTTGCAAGTCTGACAATCCAGGTCACAGTGTTGTCACCATTACAGCGAAGATTCAGAATCTCACCAGAATTCATTACCATTTCTGGCACATTTGGTTTGATCTCTGGTGGCTTTAAATCTGCAAATTTAAAGGGAAATATTAAAGGTGAAGACTACAGGCAATCAAACAGGAATTGCAGTGTTCTGACATGAATATTTAATTTGTGACCTGCCCTTAAAAATGACTAGAGCCATAGAGTTGGTTGGGGGAACAATTTAGGGAAAAAACGCAATAGCTGCTGCAACTATATCTTTGGATATAGTACAATGTATGTGCAACAAATGTTCATATATCCACATTAACATTTACCAAAAAAGACCATTGCACTGTATGCAATGTTACTGTCATGAGCAAATCACAGAAAAGTAGGACATGTGGATTATACTTATGGAGAAACACATGAAAAATTTATTCTATCCACTTTTTTGTGGTCCAATGTGGCAAAGAGTGAAGTCTTTTTCTCCATGGTCAAAAGGTTTGTCAACGTAATTGTGAGTAATGACCATTTTAGTATTCTGAGATATAGGTGAACTAAGCTGCTTTAAGGTTTTCTAAGACAAAAATGCTGGGCAATTCAAACAAAATAGATGCATTATAGTAAGTAACAGTTACCATAGTCATCTTATTAGAGCTATTATTTTAAAACAATGAGATGGTATTGCTACCTGACCAAGGTACCTACAACACATTGTTTTGGCGAAGGATTATATTAGGTTGTTCAGAAACACAAGTAACTGCCAAAATAAAGGAAACGCCAATATAAAATGTCTTAATAGGGTGTTTGGGCCACTAAAAGCCACCAGAACAACTTCAATGCACCTTGGCATAGATTCTATAAGTGTCTGTAACTCTATTGGAGAGATGTGACAGCATTCTTCCACAAAAAATTCCATCATCTGGTGGTTTTTGTTGGAGGTGGAAAGCACTACCTCAGGCACCACACCAGAAACTCCCATAAGTGTTAAATTGTGATTAGATTGGGATAAAACATAGCATATGGTTTACATCATTTTCATGCTCATCAAACCATTCAGAGACCACTCATTCCCTGTGGATGGAAGCATTGTCATCCTGGAAGATTCCACTCTCTCTGGATAGAAATGCTTCACCATAGGAACATAATTACTCCGAATTGCTTTGCCTTTATTGGCATTTACCTTTCCCTCTGAGGGGTTGAATGGACCTAAACCCATGCCAGGAAAATGCACCCCACCCCATAACAGAGCCAGAGAGCATCCTTCACCATGGGAAACCATGGGTGAAGGATGACTCACCCGACCATGTGATTTTTTTCTACTGCTCAGTAGGCCACTGCCTGTGTTCTTTGCACTTCTTTACTTCCAGAAGTGCATTATTAGGTGTAATAAGGTGTTTATGCACTGCTACCCCACCATAGTAGGCCTCTCTGTGAAGTTCTCGATGGACAGAACTCGATGAAACTGCCTGGTCATGTCTTAGATTGACATTTGCAGTCAACCGATTAAGAGTTGCTCGTCTGTTTTGAGTTGGATCTCAAACTTGTGCATAGACATCATGGCTGAGGAGTACTGTACGTGCTTTTGTCCACAGTTGTCTCTAGATGATAATTTGTTTCTCAGACTTCCATGCCAACATCACCTTAGCCACTGTTCCTTGTGAATCACCAGCAAGTTCAACAAAGGTGCCTCAGCAATCACTCCTACCTCAAAGTCACTGAGATCTCTCCATGGGATCCAAAATCATGGGAAAATGGCCCTGCCCAAAATTTTTATACCCGATCCTAAGCAAATGGGATGTTAATTGCTTTAATAACTCAGGAGCAACACCTGTGTGGAAGCACCTACTTTCAATATACTTTATAACCCTCATTTACTCAATAGTTTCCTTTATTTTGGCAGTTACCTGTATAATGCAGTGCAAAATCAAAGGTAGTGTAAAACTTTATATGGAGGTCTCTAGTCCTGGTCCTGCAAAGACTAAATTTAGTCACAGGATTGACATTCCTGGACCTGAAGGACCAGTGCATCTGCAGTTTTTCAATGTCTCTTAAAAAGTACCAGTGCCTGCAGACCTGGAAGAAGCTATTGGTTCCCATTTAAGGTAACAATGAGCTGGAATTGGTTATAAATGAATACTTGCAGACACGCTGGCCTTGAGAACCTACTGTAAGTTTGATAGTTAGATTTTTGTTCCAAGCCATCCATGAATTGCTTTATGTTACAAATCACCAATTTAACTTTTAGAATTTGGACAATTTCATGACATATTAGACCTGCAGGATTGTGACTCTTCAGAGTCAGGATTAGAAAGCCTTGCTTTACTGTTTTCAAGAAAAAAAAACTGTTTTAGGAGAAAAGAAGAAATGAAAGCTAGTCTGCCAGCACAGGCTAGAGGGGTAAAAAGAAGATCTTTGAGCAGATCTGTGACAACCCAGAACATCAGGAAACACATTGCACAGCCATAGCTAATTTCAGATTCAAGAAAGGGCTTGCATTTCCCATCCTCCCTCTCAGTTCTGCTTTTACTACTGCAGGATGTTCTGGATAAGAATGGACCTATATTGCATATTACATCTACTGCTGTGACCAAAGTCACACAAGCATTATGTGTCAATAGTAGGGTGATGCAAACCTTTTGGACACAGATGTAGAATTTCTGTGAACAATTTCAGTCAATGGACCTGTTTCCGAAGGCACAAAAAGTGCCTGAAGGAGTTAATGCAATTAACTAAATTAGTCAAAGACTAGTGCATATTTGGATCTATGAAACCTATAAATTTATACATAGATTTTGTTAGTTAAATTTGATCAATGCCTCTAATGCGAGTGACATTAGAGGCATACTAATTACAACAATTTTGATTTGGTGTTAGATGGCACAGATAAGAATTAAAACGTTAAGATGGACTTGTAAATGAAGGGCTTGTCTCTGTTTCACAATGTCCTCACATGAGTAACTGTAAACTAAAGTAACTACTACTTAACGCAATCCATGGAAGGTCAACATTGACCTTTTCTACACAGTGCATTATGTACGCATAAAGGCAGCTATTTGTCCCTTTTCACTGAAACAGAGAGATCTAAACTGTTGTAGAAAATGGCAAAACAAATAATTACCTAAAAAGTGAAAGAAAGAATAACCTCACTTATTGCCTATATAAAAAACACGTATACTTTACATTGCTTAAAATTAGGAACTACAGAGATAAGTTAATTGGCTGATGGCCTTAATTGTAGTTTAGAAAATTTCAACTTGCTGTAATTTCAAAGTCTGCAATCACTGCCATTGCTTTCATCACATTTTAAGATACTACAGAATTACCAGAATGAATATTATTCTTCTGGATATAAAACAGCAGACAGTAAGAATGAAAATTAGTCTACCATAACTTCTCTTCTGTGGCTGATTACATAAGCGCCTCTGAATCTATTAGAATAAAACCCTTTGAATTTATGAGAAATTACATATTTCAGATATATTTTTGCACATTGGTTCTGAAATCCTTTACCAAGGAGATTCTGCCTTTCACTATCATTATTTGCTTTGCCTTACTGCTCTGGATAAAATTATGTTGAAAGTGAAGAAACTCATTTATGAGAGTTAACTCCACATGAGTTAAATTTGTCTGATATGAAAGGATTCAGTTAGAACATAACCCAGGCTAATTCTTATATCTCTTCTTCAACTAACTTGAAGAGGCATAAAGTTTTGAAAACTCCTGGAAAGGGACTGATCATAAGGTCCTCAAGATGAGAAGAACTGAGCTATAGTTTGAAGTCGGATTTAAATATGAGTAGTGACATAGTCAAGAAAAGCTTCTTGCAGTACATTATCTACAGTACACATCTCACCAATAAAGGTACTGTAGGTGAAGGGATTACAAAACACTAGAAAAAAGAAACACTTGAACACAGTACTTATTCCTCAAAACCAAACTATGAAAACTGTCATTTTAATGCAGAAGTGAAAAATGCAAGGATATTCAAACTGAAAAATTAAAATACATTAAACAAAAACATCAAAGCTCAAAAATACCCTCTTACAATATAAAACTTTAGAATGGAATGTTCAAAGTTTGATTCAGGTCAACTACATGACATCCTCATTCTACAGTTTTATTTTAGATTGATATGAGAGTTATGATTTTTTGCTCCAATATAGAAGATGTTAAAATTATGTAGGGCATAATTATGTAGAGGTGGCATGGTGGGACAGTGGTTAGCATTTCAGCCCTGCAGTGCTAGAGCCACTGGGTTCAAATTCAGACCTGGGGTGCTCTCCGAGGAGTTTGTGTGCTCTCCTTGTGTTTGTATGGGCTTCCTCTGGGTCCTTTGTTTTCCATTAAAACTTCAAAAACGTCCTGGTAGGTTAATGGACCTCTGGGAAAATTGACCCTAGTGTTCAATTTACCATTTCCCATTCTTTTTGTATTTCCCACCCAATTTAACATTGTCATTTGTTTTTTCTCCGTCTTGGCACATACATTAGCTACAAACCTGAGACCTCAGAGGGGATCTGTACAAGGAACTTCTGCTACCCATCCACCTTCGAGCTCCTTATCTTTATCCATTTAACAGTATCGAGCCACTTGACAGTATCTTTTGTTGCTGCACGGTCACAGTCAACACAACCCGTACCAGAGCTCTGGTACTGATTGGCATGCAGGAACATAGGAAACTGCTGTGCTACATTTGTAGTGAGCTGTGGCAAACTAATCCGATCCATTCTATGGCAACGGTCAGCGAACCGCGAGCAAAAAATTGGATAATCCGTATCACATGTGGCCATGGCTATACTGATCTAGATTAGCCACTTGGGAGCCCAAAACATTTTTTTAAGAAGAATATAATCTTTGTATTATTATGAGGCAATTGTGTTCATGTGAAAATGAGTGATAATTATGGATTGTAGTGGCAATCTATTCATGAAAACACCATTATAACATGCGGCTATATTTCAAAGAAAATGAGAACCATTGAAAAAAAAACACATGATCTACTGAAAGGACAAGTGGACAACTGTTGCCTTGAAGTCATACTTTTCGAAAGTGTGAAATAGTATTTTTTGGTACAGCACTAATAAAATTTTGTAGTATCACCATCTGTTTTCTAAACATAGAACAGAAAAGTCTTAATACATACCGTAATATATTTAACTATATGTAATACTGCAGTTTCTTTAATAATTCTAACGATTAGAATTCTATTTTTTCATTTTAAATATTGACATTCCACCTTGAAAAAACAATAAAACATAATTGCAGTGAGTTGGAAATATTTAATCTATAATGTATGATTAGATAAAGTAAGAAGCTGTGTCAGCATGCGTAGGCTGCAAAGAAACAAGTAAAGGTTTATTCCATGCTGAAATACGAAGAAACGAAACACAACTTTTCGGCTGTGGAACCTACTTTGGGTGAAGTGTCTATCTATGTGATTAAATAACTCCTTTGTCAGAGATGTTGACTGAGACAATAGCTACTGCACAGCACTTGCAGATCAATAGAAATAGAGAGAGCATTCAATTTTGTTTTATGGACGTTGCTTTTCCTTGTGTCTCTTATCATATGTTCAAATGCCTATAAAACAATATTATTTTAATGATCTGCAAAGACATTTTAATATGCTGAATAATTTAGAACCTGTATGTCTACCTGCAGTATTGTCAGGTTCATGGCTGGTTTTAAGAGAACTTCCACAGTTTAGAAGAACAGAAGCAAAGAACAGGGAGTTGAGATCAGTTCAATGAGGGCAGTTAGTAATGTTCTTAAATTATATTTTTAATATCTATATTACAGAGTGAGCAGTGTATTTTCACAATAACTCATTTTAAGTATTAAATATGAATATTCTTTCTATAAATAAATAAATTATTTCATTGTATGTATAACACGTTTTTGAATCTTTATAATTCTTCTACTTCCACCTTTTATGAAAAGAAATTTGATTTACATTTGAAAAGATCTATTTAAAATATGTAGAAAAACCCTCAAAGGCTCACAAAATCATTTTTATGATTAACAAAACCAAAACACTTGGAATCAAATCTTTCTTTGTAAATGAAAACTGTGATCAGATTATGATTTTTTTTGTCTAAATACGATGGAGTTTATACTCTTGCACTTAAGCTAATTAATCATATGGAAGATTTTGTTTTAAATAGTGATTTGGATAATTGGAATAATGCATTTATAACACATATTGCCTTTTTTAATTAAACTATTTTGTAATCATCTTTCAAGAGTTTTTTAATTTAAGCCTGCCTTTTGTGATGATAACTGCATCTAAAATATGACATTTTGTTAGATTGCCATAAAATGGCTAGTTGTCTGGATGGTTATTCATAATATTATTAGGGACAACAGAATGTGTTTGTTTCATCAATGGCCCCTGCGGTGTTTCCATACAGAAAAGGTTATGTTTTCATTATGACGTCATCCATACATCCATACATTGTGAAAAAGTCCCTTTTTCTGATGAGACTTGTGGTGCCCCTGAGGCTGTCACAGAAGCACAGGGTGCAAAACAGGGCTAAAAACACAAGACTCTTCTTGTGCTGGATGGGGTGCCAATCCACCATAAAGAAAACAGAAGCAGGGATCATTCAGAACAGCCAGTCAAACCCCAACAGCATGTCTTTATACAGCAGAGGAAACCCAAGCACCAGGAGAAAATCCAGAGCACATACAAACTCCAAGCAGACAGACCTCCAGCCTAGAACTGAACTCAGGACCCAAGGGCTAACAAACAAGCACTAACAGCCTCACCACACTGCTGCCCTTGTGACTTCATGCTATGCTCAATATTTCCTTTTCAGAAAAAGGCACACAGCAGGAATGAGCAGGTTTTGCAGAAAATCACTGCACTTAAACAAGACACAAGATTTTCAAACCTATTTTATTTAGTTACTCCAGGAGGATACAAGACCAATATGCTCTAAACAATTTGAATTTAGATAATAATTTTAAAGAGTTAACAATTATTTGAATTTATGGAGAATTCCATCTCAAAGGACCCCAAAGAGCTTTACATACAGCAGAGGATCCAGGAATTATAGCTAAATCAGACTGTGTAAACCCAGACTGAAATGTGGCTAAAACATCAAGGTAATCATTGTGTCTTGAATGATCAGTTATTCAGGACATTATTTTAACACCTCAACAGAAGAGCAATCATTGTCTATGAAGCTATTAAGAATTAATTTAAAGCTTTGAAATAGAGGAAGTTAAGCAACCATCAAAAGAGCTCTTCTTAAACACTTGATGGAGACTCAATATTTTCTTTTTGAAATGAATTTTGCACACCAATAAGTATAACTCTGGAAGAGGGGTGATATTTATTATCCATGAGCTCACAAACTCATTTTTGAAATTATTCTGGATAACGTTCCTCAGACCTGCATGATTTGAGACTTCAAGCAATGTACTGTATCTTTTTTACAATGTTTTAAATTGGTCTTTTCATTATATTTTTACTACTGTGGTTATTAACATGTATGAAAGTTGTACCTGTCTGAACAGATTTGCATCAGATGGATGTCAAAAATCAATACAATGTTTAATGTATCTGCACGTATCACCCTCCTGATAAAATTCCATAGATAAAGTTACTGATTAAACTGATTAAACTGATTAAAAAATCACCAACTCTTGTTGGTGTTTTACTTGTGTTTAAGCTCTTTGGTTTTCCGAATGAAGGAATTACAGGTTCTTACCTTGGGCTGCACAGGGCAGTACTCCCAATATCAGAAACAGGTGAAGCATCCTGTTTCGAAAGCAGGGAATACAGCAGAACTCCTCAATGACAGCTTGCAAAACTATTCTCTTCAAGACCTTGAAGGAAACTGATGACTGTAATTAGCTGTCAGTTCTTAGCCATCAGAACTTCTTCTTTCTTTGCAGGATACAATGGTTATGTAATCTAAACCCAAATTTGGATTGTCTGAAAAAAAAAGACAAAGAATGTGCTTTAAAAACTGAGTGCAATTAGATGGAACAAGTAGTCCTTCATCTTGATGTTATTTCACCCTCAATTCAACTTTTTATAATTCCTGGGAAAAAATGTAAATTTTATTTATTTACATAAAGTGGGGCATTGAAAAACGTAACAAATGAGTAAATCATTGTTTCAATGGAAGTGGTTTTATCCTACTGAATAACAAGTAAATAAGCTTTATTATTCTGGATTAGTTAACAAGATCTGAACATATTCTTTGCATTCTTTGCTTAGTTAAGTTTTAAATGTTGTTTTGTTAGCCATGGAACAGAAGACTTATTTTATATGTATCATGGAGGTACCATTTTAGCATCTGGACTCTACTGGAGTCTATGTTTTCGGGGGTTCAAACTGTACTTATCTGACTTATGTAAAGTCAGGGACTGCTTGAGCTTAAGATGGTTAGCAGAACAAGGCACCTTGTCTTCACAAAGAATTCATCAATTTTTTCCTCCTGCATTCTCTTAATTGAAAATACTTTTAAAAGAATATTATTTCTTAGTAGTAATCTGCCAATAAGACAAAGCAGCTTTAGTTTTCCCATTTTTGATGTCACAATCAAGTGACAGCATCTGAACAGAAGTTACTGGGTGGCAATGAAACCCATCATGTCAGCTTGTAATTGAATATATACATTGTCTTAAACGTCTGAAGAGGCATGATTACATAACAGATAATTGCTTCAAAGTCAGCTCAAAGTCCTTGGGGACATTTGAGAATTTGTAAAAATGTGTGTCTTTCATTTATTTTTTTTCAGAGTTTTGGAAACAATGCATCTCAAAAACACATTTGTAGTATTTGCCTATTCTGCCATCTTTGTTTAACAATTAAACAACAAAAACTGTAACTTCAGTTGAATGTTATTTTGAATATTATTTCACCTTGTAATACAAGGTATGTTAAATTTGAATAGCATCTGCGGTTTGGTATACTGCATGTAGTTTTTAACGTTTCATACATGCTAAAACATATAGCATATGTTAAAAGTTATAAGTATCACATTTGTAATAATCATTAATCATAAAAAAATAATGTCATTCTTTGCAGTTAAAAATGGAAAATATAGCTCTTCTAAAGAAATTATTAATGAATTCCATCTTCTACGTCTATAGAATAAAAAATAAAGACCTACCTTTGAGCAATTGTCTCCTGTTTGGAATTAGTGAAACTGTAAAAATGAAGCAGAAGATTCAATTGTCTAAAAAATTATTGGAACTCCTTTTTATGCTCTTCTCTTTTCTTAATATTTTCCCAGGTCCTGCACGAAGACCGTATACTAAATGTTTCTTACTGATCTGAAGTTTTAACTTTTTAACAACAGATTCTGCAAAAGTACATGCAAGTGAAGCAAATAAATTAACACAGTTCAGCATAATAAGTAAAACCTCCATGGTCTGTGAATGCGTATGACCCATTAAAGGCTAAGACATCTTAAGAAGCTTCTTGAATGAATTCATTGATGCTCTACTCAAAAAAAGGGTTGTGGAGAGACCTCATGATGGGCATGGTTTGCGAAGATATTTTCAAGGTTGTTTGTGAGAACATGCTTTTTATTTTTCAGAAAGATGGCCAAGATTAAATTTCAACAGTTTTAAAACCATTTTGTTGGGTCCTGAAATAAGGCATGAACCTTTTCCCTACATTTTCAAACCAAGCTTTTCTTCAGGCTTTGCTTCTGCTGATTATTACTTTTTTTTAATTGTCTTTGCTGCTATACCTGATAGGAAGACTTTATAGTGAACTGTTATAATCAAATAAACTTAATAATGTCTTTATTAAAATAAATGTAAATGCAAGATACAGATTGATAGGTAGGTTCTCAGTTTGTTAAATAATAACAAGAACGTCATAAGAAAGTAAATGTGGCTCACAAATTTGTCTGATGTTCCTAATGTCACCTTTCTTAAAATGTGAGGTCTAAGCCTGATTAAGACATAGACTGGTGTTTATTTACCTAACCTTATGTTTAAAAACTAAAATAAACCTTCAATAATGTTGTGGTTCATGAGTACAACATCCAGATTAGAGTCGCTGGGTCTAAATAAGTAGCACATGAAACTTGTGAAACTTGGCCTTCACACAAACAAAAAAGATTGCTCTTAATTTCTGTGAAATCGAGGATTTTGATCTTTAGAAATGCTCCTGAACACTGACCTATGTGATAATTTAGAATTAGCTACACAACAATGTTTGCAGAATTATCATAGTGAAATGGGTATCCCTTAGGCTCATGACCTACAGCTGTTTTTGTGCCCTTGTGTGAGGTATTTTACCACATTTGGTCCAGTCAACACAGTTGTACAAATGGGAATCAGCATTACTGGGGAGATAATCCTTGTGGTGGACTGGAACCCATTTCTAGTCCATTAAACATAACAGAAACTAAAATGCAGTGCAGTGGCTCTGGTCTGGAGTTAACCATTTTAATGGTGTGAGTATTATTGAGTGGAGACAAAACCAGTTAATGACTTCTCATCCCATCTTTTTGCACATATAATATATAATTTTTTTAAAAAAATGTAGCAGTTATGGACAGCTGTTTTGAATTGGCAGAAAGAAGTCATGAGAAGGTCTGTCTCCTGTAGCATTGTGATTGGACAAAGAGCTCACACCCATCATTAGGCAAAAAATACTCTTATTGCAAAAAGTGCACATTACAGTGAATATTTTACTGAAAGAAAATGGTATTTGGGTATACAAGTTGGATGTCTCTCACAGAAAAACGATGGTTCCACTGAGGCCATAGTGATAACAAATAACAAAAATATTCAGTTAAAACTCCATACATTCATTTCTAATTTTCAAATACGATAGTCACTACTCACTATATGTCCTGGACTGTCTGACCTCTGGTATGGTGGCCTGGGAAGTGGATGAGGGATTATGTTGTGAGGATCTGGGAGCATGGCCCAAATTCACCCCTTAACAAACAACATGTGTGAAACCTGCATCCATGACAGAACTTCAAGGGGAGATGGTTGCACCTTAGTGGTGTCAATGCTGAGTGGTGCAGCTCAGTAATTTTAATGTTACAATGGTAGGGTCCGAGGGGGCAGGGCTATATCTATTTAGGAAGCTCTTTAGCTAGGCCAGGAGAAAGTTAGCTGATACGACCCAAATGTGGTGCAACTCCTGGCTTATAACTCTCAATAGAAGTGTTTGTGTATTGTTTGTGTATTGTGTACTTTCGTTCTATTTTGTTGTTTTTTGCACTATACATAATTGTTTTGTTGGTTTGTAGGGAGCAGTGTCCAAATAAACCACCACTGTTGCACCTGAGTGCTATTACGGCTGAGTCATCATTTGAAAGAACTCACTTAGTCACCTCTTGTAATGAACAGTTCTTTCCGGACCCTATGCGGACGACACAATCCGAAAAAGTGGGGAAACACTAGGAAAACGTCATGCAGGAATACGGGGCTGAAAACAGGGGGGCGTGTCCAAAGTGCGCTGGTGCACGGGGGTTGGTGTGGCCGAGGCAAACAATCCAAAAACAATCCATAGATGGAATCCAAAACACAAGAATAAGTCCATTGCCAGGTGATCCATCCAAACAAGGAATTAAAACCATGAACTGGGTAGGAACCGGCGGACAGGGAACGGGAACAGGAAGAGAGATTAAAGCCTTAACGGGACCAGGCGCTTCCAGGTACCGGACTCGCACGGTGTGGAAACCAGATGCAGAGCCAGGCTGAACGTCAGCTCCTGGCTTTTAAGGTGGGCTGGGAAAACGGGTCAGGTGCACAGAATTAAGTCTAAAGTGAAAGGGCTGGAGCACCCTTAAGGAGGAGGGACTATAATCGTGACACCTCTCCTCAAAAAATCTGGGATTGTCCAATTTCTAGCACACCACAGATGATGGCTCTGAAAGAAGATTGTTAAGATCATGCTCTTTTCTGTATGTCTCCTGTTTTATCATGTCATCAGGTGTGAGATTTGATCATTTTATAGTTGTTGCTGTTACATGCCATCTTCCTTTATCAAGCATATACAATAATGCAGTCTAAATATTATTTCTCAGGCAGCACACATACAGTATCCCCACTCATTAATTCAGATGTCCATATTAGTAAAAGCAGGATGCATTATGTTGCCATCACACTGAGACGTCTTCATTTGCATTGTCCACTTGGTTGTAAAAAATAGATCTGTTCAGAGACTTGAGACTTCATCAATGTAAATTCAAAGTGAACAGAAATTACCAATACTATCCTAGCTCCTGTCTCCTTGTAGATTTAATAAAATACTCATATTTTCACCGTCACATAGAGGAAGGTAGAAAATCTCTAATGGTGCTCCATACATTGTAACTAAACTGTTGCTCATTGTGCAAACACATTTAGTTTTCCAGCTTAAAACTCCAGTTACACAAGGCAGACAAGTGTGTTTATTTTTTACTTCTCTTGACCTTTGAGTTTTAGCCCCTCAAGGATAAAACCACAATCTGCATAATCAGGTCCTTTGTCCTACAAGTTTCAGTCGATTAGCTGCCACACATCTCTCTAACACAGAAGCTGGAAGGGAACTACAGCCCAAATACAGTACATAAGAAGACATCCTACCACAAAAGTTGTTTTTATAACACAAAAGTTAAAGGATAGTAACTTATCAGTTGCTTTGCATGCAGAAAAGATTAATATAAATAACAGAAAAATAACTATTTGTCCTGAAATAAGCTTTTTGATCTGTGATATAATATTAATTTGCAGATGCGTTCTGCACTGGAAAGCTAAAATGAGCTGGTGTTCACATGTTCACATTGTCAGAAACTGAAACTGTCAGATGACTAGTTAGACCAAGCACAAGAATCCTTTTTTGCCCCAAAATTGCCAAAAATGCCAAAAAATTAACCTTTGATAGAAAGCGATCTCCAACATCCCTCTCTACTCTTACCAAAAGATAATCACTATACCAGTCTTTTGGTCATGTACAGATTTGTAAGTGGGTTTTTAGAGTCAATTATGGTGTTTGATTTAGTAGTGGTATTAGCATACTGGATTCATAAATAATAGTAATAATATAAAATTTCATCGTTAATGGTTCAGATAATATCACCATGTGCAGACCAAAAAGTTTGGAAATTATATTAAAAAAATTATACGTGTTTATACAGAGCTCTATGTTACCTCAGTATTCTATGAACAAGAGCTTCATCAGACTATTTTATCCAGAGGGTATCTACAATATCTGCTAATTATCATTTTGGGTTATTACTTAGGGACAAGAGTCATGTGCCTTGCTTGTTCTTGTTCCCCTCTGAAAAAGAGAATGTTATATTGTGATAATGTGATGTTTCTTTTTTTGCAGGAGGAAAAGGTTATAATAATCAAACAAACTCATAAATGACGATACAATTTTTATTGTAATGTTTTTCATGAACAGGAATATAAAAAAATGATTGCTTTATATAATTCAAAATATATGACAATACACACTGTAAACATATTTCTATAACTTTGGTACCACAGCCTTGAAGAGTATGGTTAGATATACTGTAGAAAATGTATTGTACACTGTGTGCCAAAAGGTGCCTTTGTTTACTTTGTTTAAATGAATAAATCATTGTGTATTTGAAGTACCTGAAATAAACAAAAATCATATATGTTGATATAGCTATGCAGCTGGCTCTGAAACAGAAGGAAAATAAAGAAAATGGCTCAGGTCAGTTTTTAAATATTGAAATATTTTAAGAGTTGTCTAGCAATGAAAAATCTTAAGCTGGGAAGTTTTACTTCCTACATTTAATGCAGGACACAGAGCTAATGAAAAATGTATATATGCAACAACGATCACTAAAAAAGGAGCAAAACATTTATCACTTTAGGAATTTTGTGTGACAGTAAGAAAATAAGTCACGATGTTTTCTTTTAAAATAGATGTAATAATAACAATAATGATGTGCATATTATAAATACCTCCTTGACTGTCCTTTATACTAAGACCCTTATATTGCCAGTACACAGAAATTTTTAAAATAAATGCGATACATCATATTTGTCAGTGAAGGAAAAAATGGCATCCATTTTATTCCATGTGAAACGGGCATAATACCCTTGCAACTTGAAGTGTTAAGAACATAGTTGCAATGTTAGAATTAAATTGTTTTTCAAATACTTAGCCAATTTATATCATGAAGGACAGCGAAAAGACCATTGCGTGTGAAATTTTTAAATAGGACTTGTCCAGACGTCATGATTAATCTTTTGAGTCAGAAACCACATTTTGCACAATTGAAGGAATTTGTTCTGCTTAGGAACAGGCATGTATTATTCACATATTCCTTCTCAATCTATTTTGGGACACTTCTCCACTGACAAATATATTTACAGTCTTGAACCAATATAAATCATGGATGACATTTGAAATGATACGATAAAACAATTATACACAAACATAGGAACACTATACAGAATTGCTCAAATTGCCCATTTAAAAAGAAATATATTTTTCAGCCATAGTACTGTTACTAAGTAACAGTATTTTCAACTTCGAAAATACCCATCACCTGAATTCAATTTCCTATTGCATTCATAGAAATATTTGCCTAATATATGAACTCTGTTTCCCACTATCACATTCTCTGAGGCCTATTCTCTTATACTAGCTTTTATTACATATAACTATTAATTTTAAACAAAACAACTTTCTCAAAAGAAAATACTTTGATGATTATAATATGACTTTATTTCCATCCATTAAAATTACTAACCAAATTCATTCAGCATCTTTCCCCTTAACAGAAAATTAGAAAATGCCCAAGGACTGATGTGTTGCATATGTCCACCATCTCCCAGCATGCTGTCTTCATGATTTCTACTCTACAGTTACTGTCTCTAAACTGACTTTCTGACCAGTATTTCAGAATTTCAGTATTTGCTCTAAATGTTACATATCTGCTCAGAATGGGCATTTTTTGTCCATGGTCCTTGTGATGGAGCATGTTATCATTTAGAGCAAGGAGCTGTGTCAGCATTCAGGCTGCAAAGGAACAAGCAGAGGGTAATTCCAAAATGAAAATGAGGCATTAAATATAGAGTGTGAACTATGAAGCCTTTCATGAATGCATAAAGAACACAGGCAGGGAATGAGAGGGGAGAGATGGGGGGGGGGTTAATGACTGGAGGTACAGTAAATGTACAGCAAGACACAATCCAAGGATAGCAGTCTGTGAATTGAAAGCAAAAATGTAATAAATTGCATTTCTTTCAAGGTGCATTTTCAGCTATGGAAACTGAGACTGCATGGAATTGTTAAATGGTTGCTAGCATCTTGTAAAATATATACATTGAACTGAAAGTAATTCCATACTAGAAAAGCTTATAGTCTTTGATTAGATCTAGAATTCAGACAAATCTTATGCCGGAGCCTGAAAAAGCTTTTATGATGAATTTATACTGAAGTACAATCAATTAAAATCTATTTTTAAGGGCTTCACATGTTAAAGTTTCCCTGAATATTTTCCAAGAATTGATTACAATAAAAATTTCATTTTGTCCTCTTGTAAAACAATCATGGCATTAATACTTGTGATTAGAAATTGATTTCATAGTCATCGTCTTGTGAATGTCACAATGCTCCAATTGACATTAAGAAAAAAAATAAACAAAGTTTTCTTAAAAACTGGGCTCACAACTCCTCATGAAAAAATTAAAACACAGTTTGGTTAACACATTGTATGTAGTAGTGTAAAGTTCAGACTTTTCACTTTGAAAAAACAGTTTTCAAATGTTTTCAGTTGTCAAACTACTAGCTATTTTTTACTGAATTGTAACAGCACTGTACATTTTCATCTCTGTTTAGTTATCATTGCCAGTACCTGATAGTTACCCACCAGTTACTATGTACTGTAGAATTTAATATACAGTATACACAACAATATAAGGGTAACATTTAAGCAAAAACCTGTTACGAATTCCTTCATCTTTAAGTACCTTTATATTTCCCTTTTTAACTGAACTTTTACAAACATTTTTGTAAAACATTCACTTTACAAAACTTAAACATAAAACACCTGGAAAAAATTCTTATATATCCAAACCAGCAGAAATATATTTAAATTTATAATTTACAATGAGGCTAGTTTCTCTTCTAGAAGTGCATTTATTACAGTACAAATCTGTTACAAAAATCACTTTAATCTTTTCTTCTTTGTGCAATATGAGTCTTGGATACAGTCTATAATTGCTAATTGCTTCATGTTGGGGTTGATGTACTTTTATATAGCTTACACATTCTAAAGATTCTAGAAATTGATGGATTGTTCATATAACATGGTAATTAAAAATGATTCCCTTTATACATAAAATAAAAAGTAAATATTTACACATATAAAACTGATACCATACTTTAAAGTGTACACTCTATTTATATTAATACTGGGCAGTGATACAGCTACGCAGCAAGAGTACATTTTCAGTTGCAGTAAATCTTAATTGTACTACAATTTAACAATTTGGGTGTTACTGACATCTTATCAGAATATTTTCAATTAAACCAGGAAATTAAACCACTGTTTAACTTTCAGCAAAACAAAGTGTATGCATGTGAACAGTATGTGAACCTTTTAAAAGCATAGATTGATTGTTGACCCTAATAAATGAAAGGTTGAAATAATGTAAGACTTATAAACTTTGAATTTCAAAGCAAACCTATATTGTTTGTATGAAGCATTGAGTCAGACATAATGTTCTCACTAGACTCCTCATATAGCATTTAATAAAGTGGCATAACATTACCAGTACCTAAAGAAAAATGCTTTTAGAATTTGGATGATATAAATATCTTAGAAATGAATGAAAGTTAACTGTAATCACAGAGAAAATTCTAAAACAAAGACTCGTACCATAATTTTATATAATTATTTGTCCTAGATCCTCTAGAGGATTGTATCAACATCATAATGTTTTCTGAATGATGAAAAAGATAAGATGTTTGTTTTACATTTTTCCTGTGCTATTTGTAACATTTGGTATAATACTATTGAAAATATAATACTATAATACTATTTGGTATATGGATTGCATTTAGTTTTCATGGATTGGGGGTTAAAAGTGATTAGAACTACACAGCCTTACTGCTCAACACCTGAAGCTGTGAGAGATACAACTGGAGGAAAATCATGCTTTAAATATCAAGGATTGTTTTTCTTCATTTTGTTGTTTTATCAGATATTTTATGATTACAAAGATCTCAGTAGAAATTACATAGATTTCAATAAATCCACTGTTTCAGACAATTTCAGATAACGTTGTATACTAAAACTGTATTTTTATATGGAGCTCCAGCTGTGGAGCAGTGATTATTGTCAAGAAATTCGTCAACAATACAATTCTCATACTATATTGCATCTAAACAGTGTCCGTGAAATGATTGCTTAGATGTTACTGATGCCTGCACATATCTGCTAAGCAATTTGTTTTAAAGCATGTTGTTGAAAGCGTTTTGATTTACACCAGCTGTATCCAGACATTGGCTGTAGGTCCATATTCACTCTTAAACCAGAGAGTGAGTATATGCAGGTTGCTGGAGGACCTTTGGGTCGGTTACAGGAAACTTTCCTCTACTTCTGGCTCTGTTTTTTCCTCCTCTGGAGATGAACTGGAGCCCATTTCTTCTGGATCTGTGATGGATGTTTCTAAGGAACCAGAAGCTGGACTGACCTCTTTAAGGTTTTCAGTGCTATCAACAGAAAAAGACATGTACTGTAAGCAATGAAACAAGCATAAGCATAAAGTAAGATTGAGGTCTTCTGGCTACTGAGATTTCACGTGTGTCAAATGATAGGAAAATAATTCCAAATGTATCTAATTGCAAAATCTCCTTCTGCATTAGGTTGCACTGTTTCAGCTATCACACTTGTTTGAACTAAATAATCTGTATGAAAAATATTTTGATCAAGTCACTTCTTGTTAAAAATCTAGCTTGGTTAATTTAGCTTTATCATTCCTTCCATTGTAAATGTCTCATTGTTTTTACCCAGAAAATGTAGAGAATGTTCTCGAAATAATGTTATGAGAAGTGTCGTAATTATGGACATTCTGCTCCCAAATATATATTCTTTATTTGTAAATTGCCTAAATTGTTTTTTTCCACAATTTGCAATGAGACCTGCCCTACCAATGAATGTTCAGAATTCACACTTCTGCACCTCCTGTAACTGCTTCACAATAAATGTCTGACTTAAGTCATACAATAAAATGAAAATGTTTATTTAAAGTCCACATTCTAACTATTTAAGGGCAGAATGTATAATTATAAAATGAATACAAGCCATGTCTTTAACTTTTCAACATTTTTTTAATTTAATTTAAATGTAATTTCATTAAAAGTAAATATCAGGAACTAAAATAACAACTGGTCTCGGTCAACCAGTTAGCTGAAAGTGTTAAATACAATAAATTAGATTAAATATGATATAATTTAATAGACATAATAATATATAAACACACTGTAATTAAATATGTTTTTAAATAAGGCTTGGTTTTAACATTTCATTTGGTTTTGCAATAGCGGGCAATACGTGATTTCCCTTTTAGTCATATTTTTGGAAGATTAAAGGCCTGTTTCCTGTAGTTGTCTCATCATCCCCAATTTATGTTCATTGACGTAATAGTGACATATGTATTAGCACACGCTTTACTGTACAAAAGAAACATATTAATGAATATGGCAAAACTGTTTCCATTGTGCAAACATTCTGCCATACGCTGCTCTATTTTTGCCATATACTGTATTTACAGTGTTTAGCATGTCATAACACAATTTTGCTAGTTGTGTTTTATATTTAAGAGATCAAAAATTGCACACTGCAAAAAGCAGTACATTTTCTTTCTTTAATTTCAGTTGCAATGAATGCTGGAAGGCAACATGTTACCTTGGGGGATTTTCTGCCTCTGTGTCATTGCTTTCTTCACATGCCTCTTCTGGTTTGGGGTCCGGGATGGGGATGATGTACTCATTGTCAGAGGCCAGGGCTTCCTCGCCTTCAGCGTCTTGCCTTGTCCCCGGCGAGGTGATAGGCGACACCTGGCTGCCTGGCATTCTCGGCTTTGTGTGCGCAACAGCAGGGTGATCACTCTTGAAGAAGCTCTCATTCACCTGGTTATACCTCTGCGGGGATATAAAATAATAAGTTGGACAATGACTGCATGGAAAAGCAAAAGAACGACTGTGAAAAAAGTAGTAAGCAAAAGTCGTCTAACTACCTTCTTGTAGCTGTCGCTCAGCATGTTCCCCATGGCGTGAACCAAATACGAGAACTCTGGTCTTTTTTCATATTTTTCCTCCCAGCATTTTTTCATAATTTCGTAACTGGAAGAAATAATAAACCAAAAAGACCCCATCAGACCCCTTCCCTTATAGTAATAAAAATGAGCAAAGCACAAGGCACAAATGAGAGAACAAATCGAACTTGAACTTGAGCTTTATTGCCACATGTAACCGGTACTGGTACAATGGAATTCTTACTTACAGAAAGTCTCTCGATTGTAAAACAAGTGTAAAAAAAACATACCAAATCAACCACTGACATAACTGAAAGACTCACACTTCTTCAGATGCATGAGTAGGTCTGGACATTCTGTAGCCTCGTTTGAGGGCGCTGTAAAAGAGCTCACTCATAGGGAGGTCAGGATATGGGGTTCCCCCTAGAGTCAGACAGCAAAAACATCCAATAAGGTACAACAGACAAGGCAAATGATCTTTGAAAATTTGTCCTTGTCTGAATGGGAAAAGCATACATTGTTAGATACCTTTTTGAATTCTAAGTAATGGATTTAACTAATTTAAAAAGCAGCATTTAATATGAGTAAGTCATGTCAAGTGAAAATAATGTATTTTGATACTGAATGCAATCTAGTGTTTTAAAACTTTTATTTTGTCATGCAAAAAAAAAATAAAGTTATTCTGGGGCAGGTATTACAACTTAAAAGCAAGAGATAAGCATGTTTTCCCACAAAATACAAATACATAAATTTGTATAAGGATCAGTTCTTTTGCAGGTGAGTGGAAATCTGGCAGACTATGACTCCACATGTTGCTGTGCATTCAAATAAAAAATAGTTATTTGTAGAGGCAGAGATAAAGACAAAATGTCTCCTCCAAAAAGGGGAAAGAAAACAGAAAGAAAGTGGAACCATGAAACTCAGACTGGCTGACATTTCAAATGCTAAGAAATTAAAAAAGGAAGAAAAATTTGGAAAGTTTTCACATTGTGACTAAGTACAAAATATATTGTATTTTTTAGTGAAATATATATAAAAAATTATCAAGTCTTTCTTTCCTGAACCATTTATTTTCCTTACAATATATCACACTTCCATTAAGTTTGTAAATCTCAGGTCTACAACTTTCAGGAAAGTCACCCTTCTACACTGGAAAAATCAGACGTGTGTTGAACTGCTAAGTGACTAAACTGTACAAAAATAGTATATTTCCAATTTAACCTATCAATACACGTTTATGACAATAATGATCGAGACATGGTAATGGAAGCATTTTTTCATTTTATGATGCCTTTCAGATCAAGATCGGTCTCCAAGTTACTTTTTGCTTCTTATTAACCAGAAATCAAATTAAAGTAATATATGACTGCTCAATGATTTTATGGAGCAGACAAAAACATTCAAGAGTGTAGGAAAAGACAAATAATAATGTGTGATTCATACCGATAAAGGGAAGTCTGGAAAGATGAGACAGAATGCACAACCTTACATAAATATTAAGAGACATGAAGTAAAAATATAGTCGCACTTTTCCACTTCTCTACACAGGTTTAATGAGGATCGGTAATCATTGTTTATCATGACAGAAAAAAATAAAACTCTGTGAATATTATAAGGGTTGAGTTATCATTTTTCTTCAGGACAAACTTCACACTCCATTGTAATGCAAGTAGATAGGCAATTGAAAATCAGACACTTGAAGTCCAAATTATTATTAAGTTCACATATACTGTAAGCAAGAGTTAATTCAGACTGGGAAGTGTCTCATGTGAGTCTAAAATAACGGCTTTAATGACAAGATAAAGAATTTAATTTGTTCTATTAAGAGATCAAGATATAATTTATAGATCCAACATAAGCAAAAATAAAAAATAAGAATATCTTACAGCTATATGTTTCCTTCTGTGATATAGCCACACCACAATTCTCACAGGACAATCAAAGCATAGGACTCTTTTCCAAAAGCATGAAAATTCTACGTGGTAATTTGAAATCTTAAACTAATAAATCAATTATCATTGGGTGGTCTAATTAGATTCACATCTTTAAGACTGTATAAAATAGGACAATTTGCTTCTTCTAGAAGAAATTAAATCTTCTAGTTGCAATTTATGATCTGACTAACTAAAATACAATCACTTTTTTTTCTTTAAATCCAAAGTTTGTTGTACCTATTTATAAGACAAAATATTTTAAGGATTTTTACAAAAGTAAAACTATCAAAACTAAATAAAGAATAGTAGGAAGCAAGAGAATCTATTAATACAGTATGTAGAACGTAAACTTAAGAGATTTTTTATTTATTTCAGATTTCATGACTTATATATAGGCATAAAATAGCAGTATTGTAAATGTTCCAGTATTTAACTCACAGATAAATTTGTAATACTTAGAGAAAAAAAAAAATCACATGAGAATACATAACATCAAGGCAAACATTTCCATAACCATTAGTTGCATAAATCTATATAGCCACACAAGGAATATCTTATGGAAGCCCGTTTCTGCCAGGGAGTAAAAAAACGCAACATTGTATCTCAGAATTACATTTCTATCTCGCAATTGCACTTAAAATCTCAGAATTCCAACCTTATTTCTCACAATTGCGACTTAACATCTGGCAATTGCGACTTAAAATCTCAGAATTACGACATCATTTCTCGTATATACAACTTTATATTGCTAATTGCAACTTCACATCTCACAATTTTGATGTCACTTCTGGCGCCAGCAAGAATGTACCCAGGCCAGGTTGTTCATCTGGCAAAAGAAGCCCACCGTGCTGTTACAGTATGCCTGCCTTCTTGTGACTTCTTTTGGAATGCTATCTTTAGGAATATAAATTGGAAATTAGTTTGGACAATAGCTGTTAAATTGACACTTTCTAGATTTAAACACAAATAAGATGACTTTTGTCATAATTTTTTTGTGAATGTTGTAATAATGAGAAGAAATCTTTGTTACATTTGTTTGTCAATTGCATATATACAAAACTCTTTTGGATAGATTTGCAAAATGTTATTGTTAAACATTTAAAGGTAAATGTTAAATTTAAAGATTTTGATATTGTATTATCGTTAGAACTGTTTTGGATAAAGGATATGTTCTTATTATTAATCTGATAATTATTTTCATGAAATACTTCATCCACAAAAGTAAATGGTATAATACTGCTCCCTCTTTTAATGCATTTAAAGTACAATTCCTTTTTTACTTAAATTTGATTAGAAATTTAAAGAATCAAAAGTCAAGACATACAATGGAAATATGAAAAAAGTATAATTTTCAGCTTTTAGAATTGTGAATTCCTCTGGATGAGAAGTGTCTATTTAAAAATAAGCCCACCATCCACTATTCCATCGGGGTACTATGGAAACCTCGCTGGCGGAAATGGGATTCCATAAAAATTAGTATGATTAATTTGATTTTTATCAGGGCACTTAACAAGGCAAGTCTTCAGGCCTATAGATCCTGTACGGTTTCTGAATATGGTGTAACGGAATGGCGGACATACAGGTTGTATGATCTGGTTGCAGTGTGGTGACGGCACCGCCCTCCCCTGCGCATAACAGGGATGCTGGCCGCCGGGGCTAAAGAAGGTTTTCTTTAGCTCAGCTGGCAAGACCTGGGTTCGAGCACATGCAGTGAGGGACATACTAGGGTGGGAACGACGAGGGCACAAGCTCTCAAACCCAAATCCATTACAACAACAAAATGCCAAGAAATGTTGGCTATTTTAAAGTCGCAAATACGAGATAAAAAGTCATAATTCTGATATAAAAAAGATGCAATTGCGAGCTATGCAGTCGTAATTCTAAGATGTTAAGTCACATTTGCGAGATATAAACTCGTAATTATGAGAAATAAAGTCGGAATTCTGAGATTTTAAGTCACAATTAATCTCGTGATTCTGAGATACAATGTCGCAATTGCGAAATACCATAGCACGTTGTTTTTTTACTCCCTGGCGGAAACGGGCTTCCATAATATCTCCAATAAAACCGAAACATTTCAGGTATTTAGTTCTTTCCTATAGTTTATGGGGGGGCAATTCTGTCCATTACAAATGTGCGGCAGTCTGGTTAAGTCATGATGTCTACAATGTAAAATCCAAGCAATACCAGCTTTCAAGATTCAATGGGAACAGTATCTCAAAACCATGCAGTCTGAAACTGGTAAAACCTAATAAAAAATAAAATAAAGGGGTTTTCAGTAACTAAGAGAACAGTAAAACTGTCATTTTAATGTAAAAAAAATGTTTTGTAACATCACAGTCTGATATTTTAAATGGAAAATATATTTGTATGTGTAGGCAATATTCATGCGAGTACTTGCCCAGAGTGAAGATTTCCCACAGTAATATTCCATAAGACCAGACGTCGCTCAGTGTGGTGTAGAGATTGTGAAAAATGCTCTCTGGTGCCATCCATTTTAAAGGCAGGAAAGTCTAGGGTTTAAAAATGGAGTTACACTTATGAAAGTGTTCTGATTTACCTTTCACATTCATTTCTGTTGTTGCAACTCTGGAATAAGAAGTGCCAAACAGTGGTCTGATCATGAAACTGTTAATGTTGTGGGTGGTATCACTGAGATTTGACTTTTTCACTTTAAAAATGTGCACATATCATTTGTAATTCAAATAAAATAGGACATTATTTGAATGCTTTGCAAAGTCCTTTACATGAATCACAAAATATTACCAATCATCCTAATATAGCAAGAATGTTTTCATGTAAAAAATATATATTTTAATTATCATACAAGTTCTGTATCATTTTGTTTTACAGAAAAGTAATAGAAGAATTTAGTTCTGTTTATTCTGTTAAGTGTTTTTTTTTTGTCTATGTTTACTTCGACCGCAGACATTGTGGTCATGTTGGACCAGGGTTTGGATGGTTTTCTTTAGTACAAATTATGGCTTTCCAAAAACCTCAGAGTCAATACAAACTGTGTTTAAATACTCTTATTAGCCAAACAGAATCTGACATGATGTGATTCAAACTCACATGGACGGAGTACAATAATGGCCAAATGCCACCCCATCAGCCACATCTGTACACTTCAATTACAAGTGCTTTCTTTGTTTTGTTTTTATATTGGAACATATACTTAAATGGTTTCTCAAGTACAGTACGTCACATCTGAACTTATCACCAAATGGATGATTTATTGTCTGCTGTATTTGTTTTGTAGATATTTATTCATATCAAGTAATGGGTTTATTCCATGCTGGAAAGAGAAGAAAGAAAACAATGTTTTGGCCATGGAGCCTTCTTCAGGTGTGTGAAGTATATAAATAAAGTATGGTATATATATATTATATATTAAAAAGTATGATTTTTTAATATCATACTTTTCTGTATAATTGTACATGTCTGTTTATGAATGTTACATTCTGATTGCTTAAAATGTTTGTTGGAACTGAACTTTTCCTTCCATTTGTTTCTAATTCAGTAGGAACTCTTAGACATGCAATAGCTACAGACAATTATTACTAAGTGCTGGTGATCTGTTCAACATGCACTCACGCTGCCTTTAGAGATGTAGTTGGAGTCGTGCATAATGTCTCGTGCCAATCCAAAATCACAGATTTTCACCAGTTTCCCCTCACAAATCAAGACGTTCCTTGCTGCCAAGTCGCGATGAACACACTGTTTTTTGTTAATAGAAGATAAAAAAGAAGATCACGTCAGTCGATTCAGTTTAAAACTGGATGCAATTAAAAATGATTAGTACAATCTATCTTTTTGACCTAGCCTTGGGTAGCTGTGAAAAAAAATAACTACAATAATTTTAGTGCATTATTATATATTGAATTAATCTCAATCTAAAAGATAGAATTATTAGTTTATTCCTTGTATGCAGGTATTTATTTATTCAAATTTAATTTTAAAAAGCTTCAAGGAAAATTTGTGACGATTTAGAGAAAACCAGCAGTCTGGAAAATGACTGACCAAATGATGAGAAAAATAAATAAAGAAAACTGTCAGGTTCAGTGGTTTCAGTGCTTTGTGTTCACACCTACATTCTTAGATGCAAGGAAGTCCATTCCTTTAGCCACCTGATAACTGAACCCCACAAGGTCTGTATAGCTCAGAATAGGTGACTCATTGATCACTGGGGCACTGTCAATCCTCTCTTGACCTTGAGTAGCACACAAAAAGCATAATCAATCAAGGCAGCTGTATTGCACAAATGTTGTGTTTAGGTCATACAACCCCTCTCTGCAATCTGTCCTCTTGCATGATGGACACCCGAGAACACATACAAAAAGGCTTTCATTTTTTACATAGATTTTAAATATTACACAGCATTTGAGCATCAATGTACAGTGAAAGTTTAGATGTGTTTTTAAGTGTTTTAAAATGCTTTTCCTAAGCTGCTCCTCTTTCATCTGTGTTCAATATCCAAGCCATTGTAACATAGTTGGAAATAACAGCACAGTTACACAAATTCTCTCAATACAAGCAAATATATTTTTACTTTTTCTACAAAAACACAACATTTTTTCTTTATTACAAAGGGTGGTGAGTTTATGTCTAACAAAAATAATGCTTTAGACCATGTTGAATACAGTACCTTTAAGTTATTCACTGCATAATGGTTATTCAATTTGTTCAGAACATCTCAAATGTTTTATTATTAAAACAATTTACCAGCTGAATCCAGAATACTACGTTTAATTTCAGAATCATCTTTGCACCAAATTCTACATTAGGGAATGGCAGAATTCCAATGAACTCTGTAAATCCCAATATCTTTACATAAGTCTAGATGTATAATGTTCTTTTATTATTTTTGTTTTAAAAGAAAAAAAAACAACTATGTTCTAAACAGAACAACAAACACTTATGTCTATAGGATGTACCTTGTGTCTGGTAATTGTCTTGCTGGTAAGGTGTTTCATACACAGATGGTTCAATATCTGCATATTTGATGTTGTCTGTCAGTTCCTGCATAGGTACATACTCTGTAGAGTCATCCTTGCTCATGTCCATATATCCTCCATCACTCTCACTGGTTAATGTTACGTAGCTGAAAAGGCAGGTAAAGGTGTTAATTATCTTTTCTGTAGTCTCTTCCTGTAGGCTATTTTGATAGCATTAGCTGTTAAAAACATTTAATTTTCCATTCAGTTAGGTTACCCTGCCATCCTGTTGTGTCCAACCGGTTACCCTGTTGGACACAACAGCGTGACATTTTTATTCTCTGGAATACCTGCGTGTGCAGGGTGTGTAATAAGTGACAAAAGTGTTGCGTAAGTGACAGCAGCTCCACAAAATCCCATTGCAATCCTGGAGAATCTAATCATGCTTATTAGACTGTGTATTGTTATCTAAGCTTCTTTCTGGAATGTGTCCAAAACTTTGCACTGCTATAAAAGGGTAACAACAAAATAAAAACAAAATTCAGCTTTTATAGGTAAAGGCAAATGGTTCTTAAATTGAAAATGACTGCATCCCTACCTTTTTCCTTGACTCTCGATTGTGCTATTTCTACACATCTCAGCATCTCTCCTAGTTTTATCTGCATAGTACTGCAGGAAGGTGTGTTTATTTCTGTGGAGGTAGTCTACGAGGTCTCCATAGCGGCAATACTCTGTAATTAGATAGATAGGACCTGGAAGGAGAATAAAATCTGTTACTATTGTATCCAGAGGCCATACAATTTTTGTGAATCACAGTAAAACACCTCATGTGAATCATTGTGGAATATTCAGCTTCATTTTCTGCACATTAAACGTGCCTTAGTTAAAAAAAATGTAATCATGTTCATCGTAAGGCTTGACAAGAAAGTGTTTTGCAGGGCAGATTTTTGTCCTAACCTTGATTCTTCTGAAAGAAAGTCTAGGAATTGAAACATACAATTTTAGCAAAAGTCTTTATACCAAGCAGAACACAGTTTTTTAAAAAAGTTTTGAAAGATTAGTTATTGTAAATGCATATCAGTTGTAGTATTAAAAGCCAACAGACGTCTACATTATTGTCTGTAATGCTGGATTACTGTCAAGTACACCAGGAGAAAAGGGCAGGACAAGAACATCTGCAATTTCTGTATTTAGGGAGATTTTTGTAGATTTAATTATAGATTTTGTTTTTACTGAAAATACAATATATTCTTTGCCATCAGATGTAATAACAGTAGTAGCACATAAGTATTGTTTTTGGTTTTGTAAGTATTTTGTTTAAAGCAGGACTCATACCTCTTTTTGTGCAGGCTCCTAGCAGATTCACAATATTGAGATGAGGACCTAAATGACTCATTATTTTCAGCTCCGACATCAACGCCTGAGTCTCACTTCTCCTTGCTGTTGCTGTAGAGTTAAAAATGAAAATAATTGTAGCATATACAGGTTTACAAAGTGCCATACATACTACTTAAAAACAAGTTAAAAAATCTACTGTTGATTTGATTAAGTACATATCAAAGTCAACATATTTATTTATATTTCAGAGAGCTAATGTGTGTCTTTTTAAAGAAGAAAAAGAGTTTTAGAATTTTAGATTTACAGCTTTTGCTTCACTTTGTATTTCGTACATATAGAGCTCCATAAGAGCTCTATACTGTAGCTCAGAGTCAGATGATTCTTTTTAATAATATTTGGGCTAATAAAATGTACTTTGTGTTTAGCTTAATTAAAACAAGAACATATATACAGACAGGAAACATGTACTCATCAGTCACATACATTTCAGCATTTTTACTGCCACTTTAGTGGTGGATTGGGAATGACCAAGGCCATAGGCTGTTCCTTCTACAACCCTGCCAAATGCTCCAGAACCCAATGTACGCCCTGAAACATAGAAGGTTTGCACTCAACAGGAGAAAATCTACTCAGGAGAGAAATTTTAACGGAAAAATACTTCAACAAAGAAGAAAAGATGTATACATTTCAATTTGTTATGTATGTAGACATTAAAAGCCTTTAAAACAGTTCACAAACTTTTTTCACGTACAACTCAAACTGCTCAGTTTCAATGTTGGGAGATGAAAGAACTTTCTAGAATTCTCTCATTTATTTCTATTTACATAAAAGTAAAGTCCCTCCACAACACACTAGTAGGTCATTATGGAAACTATTATGAATAAAACAGAAATCATAACAAGTGTTATTATAGTTCAAAAACACTTTTCTTTTACAATACATTTGTCAAAATTAAAAAAAAAATGATTGTAAATAATTGTTCTACAGGTTCTATGGGTACTACCGAGCCTATGTTATTATTTTGGAAAATATTAGTATCACAGAAATTGAATACTAACGGTTTATTAGATTATGTTTATCTCTAATACTGTGGTATTCTCTGTGCATTTCATATAATATAGTTTTAGTGGTTAAACAAGGAAAATTAATTTGTCAAAAGGATGCTTGAATGTCCATAGAATTCTGGGGCACAAAACCCTTATGTTTCCTTCTATTCACTCATAAAATGTATACATTTTAAAATTTTGGAAAAGTCCGTTATTGACACAAGCGATTTTTTATTTTTTAAGATTTCCCTAAGATTATATTTTAACATGTATAACTGGTTAGACTGAATTCAATATAGATGTCTCTTTCCCTTTCTCCCCCTTGTCAGCACTATAAAAGAATGTTTTATCAGGGTTTGTATGGACTACTTTTCTTTTCTTACCTAAGACAAGGCTGTCTCTTGGTACCTCCCAGGCTGAGTCATAAGGGAGGTGCATTGGGTCTACATAGATGTATTCATGGCCATCCGAGCTGACTGACTCAATCACCTTCCAACGGATTTCATAGCGAGGTTTCTAATGCGGAAAGAAGCAACAGCTGCTTTACAACTTTTAACGATGGTCAAAATATTACAATGTGCCAAAGGGAAAGCATGACAAAAAAGGTTGCCCTAGCTTGTTGTTCTCACCTTTTTCCACACTGCTATCAGGACAATGATGGAAATTATAAATATTACCACAAGAGCTAAGACCGTAGCTAAAACTGCCACCTGGGAATAGAGCACTGCAAGAAAAAGAGAATAAAAAAATTATTAATGAAGTGGTATATCAGCACATGCGATATCAGTGATCAGTGAACGTAGAGACCACTAGGACCTACATAATACTTTATGTGTCTATGTTATAATGCCATTCATAACCCTTTATTATCACTCTTCTAAACACCATAACAGATATAAGTTATCAAACTATAATTTCTGCTAACTATAATACTACACTTAACCCTGAACTTAATCCTAATCATAGCTCTTAACCTAAGTTATAACATTAGCTTTGATAAATGTTATAAACACTCACATATATGTATAGATTATTTTGAAGCAGTAATTATAATGCTTTACAAATGTTGTTATAGAATTGTATAACATGATGGTGTATTGCTAACTGCACAAGACTGCATTTAAAAAGAGTGGAAGTTAATAAACTCTGAAGAATGATTTCAGTGTGGTATTTATTGTACTTTTTCTTGTGTGTAACTATCATGCCAGACATATGGTTATCAGTAGAATAATAATAACTAGGAGTAGACCCACTTAATTCAAAACTGAAGACCAGTACCCATCAGAGTGACTATAACAGGGTAGCTGGATCTAGGTGCCAGATATGGGGTTTAGCCACTAGAGGGGGGTGGTGAGACACTCCACACACAGAGAAAAACACACACGAGGTTATAAGAGAGCAGGCCTTAACAGTGAGAAGTCACACTACCCCACTACCCACTTAAGGGTTTAAATAATCAACAGTCCTGGTTGACCTAGGGGAGTTGGATCCCCAATGTCAGGTGTGTGTGTGAGTGTGAGGGGAGACTCTGGTGGTTGGCTCATGGGAAGATAGTTCCTCATTGTGAAGGGGGCAGTGAGAAGTGGGTTCTCACGGTAGGGGGAGCGTGAAAGATCCTCAGTCTCACGGGGAGACGTGATTTAGTCGGGGAAGGTAAAAGGCTGCAAGGTTAGGAGTGAGTTGTCTGGGAGCATGGAGACGGGAAGCTCTCACTGAGCGCTAGCCTCGGCTGTTGTCAGTCCACAGGTAAATAAGAAGACAGTTATACAGCGGACTGGTCTAAAGTTTGAACCGTTGAGGGCATTCTACTGCCAATCGTTCTAAGGTACAATAAGATTAGCACAGGAGAACAGTTAAAGGACTGAGTGAGGGTTAAAACAGTTTTAAATACAATGAAATTGGTGCCTTAATACAGGCTTAAACGGAGGTGTGCAGATTCCTCTACACTTGGCAACCAACCAAGGTGGATCTTTTACAGTGATGTGCAGCAATCATTATGTACCAGTAGTCCCAATGCACAGCAGAACAGGTGAAGAAGAACAAAAACTGCTTCACTAATCAAATTAAACTTTTTGGGAAACAAAATTGTACAAATCAAGAGTGGCATTCTAACCAGCTGGGGATAACACCCCTACTCTTGCGTAAAGTGTGATGGGACCTTTAAAGACCAAGTGGTGAGGAGTCTCAGGTTTTATTCTTAAAAAATTCAATGACAATGCTGAAAGCCAAAAGTAAAATCACCATGAGGCAGATGAGAAAGCAGCTTGACATCGCGCGTTTTCCTCCCCATTGCGCTCCTGGCCTCACAGCGCAAAGAAATGATCTTCTGCAGGTCCTGAAGGGCGATCCTGCTCTTGGTCAGGTAAACACCACGGGTTTCATTATAGCTCACATTTGTCTGTATGCTGACATTATCAGAGCCTGTAGCGATAAGGGTCCACAGATCACTTCTGTTGGTGCATCTGGGAAAATTCAAAAGACACAATACGAGTTTTACAACCATTGCACCTACGATTTCAACCATCGGGTACAAGACCTATGATAATATAGAAAACAAATATTCCTTTTCCAAATCTCTTGTGATGAGTTATTTCTCAAAAAAATGTTATGACGTATTTACACTATGTAGTCATTTTTTAAACTGAAAATTGCTGCTTCTTGATCAAAACCTTGGAATGGCGCAACCTTTTAAACATCAATGGATCTTGCCATATTGATACACATTGCAGTGGACAGGAAAAAATTAATTCTCATTATACAGTATGTACCAAATGGAACCCTTTTTTAATATGGAAAGATTTTTGACTATTTAAAATTGTTGATTTGTCAAATGTGTTTTGTCACATTACTCAATGACCTCTTTTTGCATTAACTACAGTAGCTCTTTAAAATATAATAAACCATGAATTGTTTATAAAGACAAAAAATCATTTTGAATCAGATTAGACCTGGCAGTTAATTAATAATTAGATATCAAATACAGCAGTATAAAGCACTCAGTTCATCCCAGTGTTCATCTATTTTAAAACCTGCTTTTTATAAATGTCATCATTATTTAAATTACATATTATCCTATTATTGATTGTAGTTTATATGCAGTGATTTGCTTTTATTTTTACTAGTGGCAGGAGCAGTAGTATTATCGTACTTTTATAGAATTCCTACAAATAATTTTAAGATGTAGAATGTAAAAATACTACCCTCTGGTGGAGAGACCAACCAACAAATAAGAAAATTAATGTTCCTTAACATATTTTCTTGAATTGACTTTATATTGTAACAAAATTTATCCAAGCAAAAAGGTGTCTCAGTGTAATAAAAGACAACAGGAGTTGTTAAAAAAAACCTGCTTTCTACTTTACTATGGAGGTAAAGGACATGGCTTTTACCTGTGATAATTTTTAATATCAAGCAGAGAATATCAAGCTGCTTGCAGCCACAAGGGGCTGTGTGTTTGTCAATGGGAAAGGTTTGATGTGATATTTTAATCAATGTCAATTCAATGCATAGACAGTATGTGTTGTGTAAAACAAAGTACTGTATTGAAATTTGTGATAATATTTGAAGTTCGATGGCAACACATCAAATTGATATTGATAATAAAGGTTGTTACCAGGAGAAAATAGCATTATTAAATCATTAGGTTCAATTTTGTCATTCCATAACTTGAAACTACCAAATAACTGTCTTCTTTGATTATGACACGAGACTTGACATTTTTTACAGGATCTGGATAGAGAAACAAAAACCAAGTCTGTGCAGCTCATGTGCTCACAAATTAACCTGCATTTCCCCTATATTGGATCATTACAGGAATCTCAAGAATAACTTACAGTTTGGGATAAGTTATTTTTAACATTGGGACTCCCAATGTTAACATAACATTACAGTAGATCACAGTAATCAGCTCAATCACATACAGTACATTCTAAAATTATACTAAGAGGCTCTATTTGTGCATGCATGCAAAATAATTAATAATTATAATACAATAAATCATAAAACAATAATAAAATAATTTAAAACAGAGTTTCAAGAACAAGGAGCATGACAGTAATGGCTCTTACACCTGCTGATTCCAGGTAATTCAATTGTCTTAATTGTACACATTTAGTGTTTTTGCTTTGTCATGTACAGTAACTGAGATTTTAAGCATAAACCACATTGAAGATGCTCTGAAGATAAGTTCTGTTCTCTCCGGTCTGTCAGTAAAATGGACAGTCAATGAAATACTTGACATTGTATTGATCTTTAGCTGAGGAATCCATCTCTCCAGTTTCTATACCTGTGTGCAGGGTGCACACTGGTACCAACACTCACAACAGGGCCAGTTTAACAGACTTACAATTTTACAGACAGGGCCAATCAACTTAGAGATATGTTTTTGGACTTTGGGAGAAAACTAGGGCACCTGGAGGAAATCAACGCGAACAGCACTCCAGGAACTGATACCAGGTCACCAGTGTTGTGAGGCAGCAATGATAACCACTCTCTACCCTTAGTTCAGGAAAAATGGACGTCATATGGATTTTAATGTTTGGAGTGCTGGTGTTTCTTTTCCGAAATAAGACTTTTTCACTGAGAATCCTTTTGGCTTACTTGTGGATGTTGTCGCAGCTGTACCATTGGATCCTTGGGGTTGGCACACCTTCAGCCTTACAGACCACTGCATGTCCTCCTCCTACTGGGATGTAGTCAGAGAGGTCCACAATATGAGGGGTCACTGCGGTGGAAAAAATAACACTTTCAGAGATTCGGAGACAAAAAAATGAAGAAAAAAAGGAAATACAGATATTGTATATTGACAGGACTCAGTACACATATTTTTCTGTGTTAAATGGTGTTACATAAAATATCAACCAAGTCCACAGGCCTCATTTTAGGCAGTACCAACATGATTAAGTCAGTACTTCAAAGTGATTTACTACATCATTTTAATATGTATTTTCAACACAGCTGTGAAACAGGATTTTGGCTCAAAGTGTTTGCTGAGTGTTTTACGTTTCCAGGCAAAATACTTCAATGTTTATGTAGAGGCTTTAGAGAGGACTAGCAACATGAAAGAAATACCTCTACTCATTGAAAACAGTGTCTGTGTGTACTAGTTATTTCTGTATATTACTTCTCAGCTCTTCTCACCATTCACATGGAGTTCAAAGGTTAGCTCCCCTGCACCATCTTCATTAGACACGTGAACAGTATAATGTCCACGTTGCTCCGTTCTAATACGTACCAAAGTTAAAGTGGTCTCATATCTTTAAAAAACAGAAAGATTACATTGTGGTAAATTTAAACTCATTAGAATGAACAAAAAGCAGCATAAAGTGTCTTCCAATATTGGGGATATCTTTTTGTATTTTGGATGACAGTGCATTGGCTGATTTTTTTGGAAGCAATTGTCTTGGGTTGATTCTGGGCAGAATTACAGAAGTAATTGGCAACCCTCCTCCAGTATTTATTTAACTTCAGCTCTAATTTTTAAATCAGATATATTTGTCAAAATGCCCATTATATCCATTACTTTGGGGGCACCTTTGAGAACCTAAAGACCCGCTGGCCGGTTCCTGTCCACGAGGAATCATTTTTAAAAAAGAACTCACACCCATTTGTGAAATGACTCTTAGAAGAAAAAAAAAACTTTCCAAAGAGGGGCAGTCACTACTTTATCAATGTGTATTACGCAACATCACTGAATTCATCATTAGTTCTCTATGTTAAAGCCCAAATAAGCCCAAAAATACATAGGAATTAGAACATATTATACTGTGTATATACTGTAATTAAGAGCTGATTAGTTATAAGTACTTTGTACCTGGTCTCTTCCATTTTTCTGAAGTCGATAGATACTTCTTCTAAGTCTCCTGTCAGGCTGATGTTATCCTTCAACCACCTCACTTGAGGTTTGGGATAGGCTTCTATTTGCACAGTGAGCTCAATGCTTTCATGTAGTTTTCCAAATAGGTTGTTACTGATGGTGGAATTCAGCTTTACAAACCCCCGGTCTGTGGAAAGAAATGCACAAATGTATTTACACATCAGTGAGACACAGCTAGTCTGTGAGAATGTGTACCTTTTCACTGTGTAAATTTACAGCATTTCTTTGTGCCAAAAAAGGGCTAAAATTATACAAGGATTTTCATTTAATCCTGGACCTAATGTCCAGACAAGTCAGAACTTCTAGTTTGTGTTGCTGGCAGTTAAAAGCCATACAGTTGCCAAAACAGAATGTGTTTGCTTGGTTGTATTTGACTTGAGATATTTTGGCATTGGGGTCACAAATGTAACATTTAAAGAGTTTTAAAACAGCTTGCTGTTTTCCTCATAATGCATCCTTTTCTGACAGGGACTGCAGCCAAAGGGACTGAATTAAAAGCACAAAATAAAACAGCGAGTTTACATTTGCATAAATAAACAGATGGATATACAGTACTGGTGCAAAGTGTTTATGGTGAATTTTCATACTTTCCTCTGTGATTTATGGCATTTTTTAAATGCAACCTGAATGCTGGCTGTTTTTATAGGTCATAAAAGTTCAATCTTTCTGTCTCTCAATGTCTGTTTTTCTCTGTTTTTCCAGTTGTGCTTTTTTGTACTTACGGATGTTCATTGGGAAGAGTTTGAAAGACAGAAGAAGACGCTGGATTATATTGTTTTATGTATAAAATATTTTAGATTAAATAAAGATTTTCTGGACATCCTTCAACTACTGTATACTGTAAATATTTTACCTTTAAAAAGAGTGGCGTATTGGTAGCACAGTGGCGCAGTGGTTAATATTGCTGTCTCCCAGTAATTCTACTCCCAGTAATACAATGTTGAGCGTTGATTTCAATTCTGGACTTGGAGTGCTATCTGCATAAAGTTTGTAAGATCTCCCTGTGTTCATGTGTGTCTCCTTCAGGTGCTCTGGTTTTCTCCCCCAGCCCAAAGGCATACTGGTAGGTTAACTGGCTTCTGGGAAAAATCATCAATGGCGTGAGCGTGGGCATGTCTGCGTTTGTGTCCTGTCCAGGGTGTACCCTGCCTGGCACCTACTGCTTGCCTGGATAGACTTTGGAGCACCATGAATTGGAAGAAGTGGTTTGATGAGTGGAAAAGTGAATTGTTAGACACACAATTAGCTACAATTTACAACTTTTAAAAATGTATGGATACTAATTTAGTCAGTGATGCATTAGCTCAGAACCTGCAAATTACCTCTATAAATTATTTTTAACCTGTAATAGGTTATCGGAATAAAAATAGAGTAGTAGTGATGTGCTAGGAGCTGACCTCTAAAAATGACTTATTGCGTATTTATTAACAAGGTCAGGTTGTTTTTCAGATGTAATAATTTAATGGATACTCCCGTGATGCACTTATTCATCTTATAAATTTATCAAATGTAATTTGTAACTTCTAAACTGAACTGAGATGAAGTCATTCATTAATCAAGCCCTTAACTACAATTATTCAAGTTGCCAGTGTGAGTCTTCAGGCCACAACTAACGTAGTCCATGTAAGGAGAATAAAAACTATCTCACCTGAGCAAATCAGTTAAACAAGTCAGATTTGAAACAGTGGTTTGTCTAAGTGGTGCATAATCGTACTGCTTTTTTTCAGATTATATCAAAAACTTACCGTGAACCGTAATTATGATCTCATCATCTTTCTCTGTCCCCCCTACGTTCTCACTGACATTGCAATGGTACCTTCCTGAATCCTCAAGAGTAGCATTCGATATGTTCAGAATGGATCGCATTTCCATCCCCAGATCAGAAATTATGTCGGTTATTGGTTCTATAAATTGATTCGCCTAAGAAGAGGAAAGCAAAAACAGCTTCAAGACACAGATTTCCATGTAATTCTGCTCTACAGAATTATTTTACTCATTCCCACCAATGTTTGATTGAATAGTTCTTTCAAACCCTAATTAAGGCAGAGGTGAAGTGTAATTCCAACAGTGAGCTTTATTGGGGTATTTCACTTGGCGTAGGTGAACAACAATGATGAGGTTGTCACAACCCTGACTACTTCCCACTAAGTAAGGACAAGCCAGGAATGGATGAAAGAGCCAGGAAAGTCTACAACAAGCATTACATTTGTTTTGAGGTTTAGCAGGTGGAAGTGGGTGAAATTAGGGTTTGCCTTTCTCCTTAACCTTTCATTAAACTCCATAAAATACTCCATTATGGAGCATCAAAATAAAAAAGAGAATGAAAGCTTCTACTCAGCCCTGTGATGAAGACATTCTCCACTGGGATAAGCAACAGAATAGGAATATGAGATGAAAAATAATGTTGTAAAAATGCAGAATAAATATTTGACAAACTTTCACTATCCCAATAGTGTGCTCCTGATGATTTTGGGTTTTTTTAAGAATAACTGGGAAAGAATAACGTGGTCAAGAATTTTGAAGCAAAGGTAAGAAAAAAAACAAAAAAACTGGGAAACAAAAACGGGAAGCAAAAGAAGCCTTTTTTTTTGTTTAGATGTGTTCTACATCAATTGCCTAGTTACTGTAACGTAAATTCTCCTTTCCTGTGTCTGTTATGATAAGACTCAAATCTGAATTAAGCCTGATTAATCTCAAGTCAGATTTTAAATAAACTGAGTCATTTGATTCTTGCCATTAACAGAAATTTCTCTCGATCAAAAGCCATTACGGGATTTTCTACATTTCCTCTGTCTTATTTATGGAAGACAGATGTGGGTGGTCTGGTCGCAGAAAAAGCCTGCATCTTAGTGTATTTCCAATCTCAGATCCTTTTTTTTAATTACAAATCGCAATAATTAATAAAGAAGAGCATAGCAGTAAAGCATAGAATAATGTCATGTGTTTATTAAAACCAAGCTATGTTATATTTATCACTTTGCAGATTGCTGTACCATATTGTAGCTACTGTAGTTAATAAAGAGAATGAACTAGCCCAAGGTGCTTTCTATGGTGTAACCTCTGATTACCTTTTATCAAATCTATATTAGATAACCGAACTTAAGCTTAGTCCTTGAGAAAAACTACAAGAAATCATATTATTCAGTCTTCAGACTTATTATCTAATGTTTCTTATTAAACAATGATGAATATCACTAAACATCTGCAAACAGGCACAGTCACAGAGATTTTAGAATGAAAATGTTGATTCTTCATTTTTTCTACTTACAGCTTTGCGTGGGTAGTCCCAGGTGAAGTAAGCTAACTCCACTCCTCGTACTGTGCAGTTCACAATTAGTGGTTCACCTTTCTTTAACTCTGTCTTTGTGGCATTGATAAAGACCTCTATCATGTCTGGTACTGTAGTGTACAAAACATTTGACAAAATATTAAAGAATCTTTTTGTACTAGCATCAGAATAATCTATTCTCACAGGTGGTCAAAGTAGCAATGCTGTTTCTGGACTGTGTCCACTGGGAGCAATTGATTGGTCATAGACTGGACATACTGTAGATTCCCCATGTAGTAGAACACGAGTGACAGAGCACTGTGTCACCTGTGACTTGCTAGGAACCTGAAGGCTAGTAGAGAGATCAGTGAGAGACATGCCACTCTTCCAATTGGTACTGCTTCTCCTGTCAGGGCTTGTGGAGCTTGCAATACTGTACAGCAAATAGCAACTGAGATGGGCTTGTTGGAGGAGCACTTGTTTAGGAGGAAATGTTGTTTTCATATTTTGTTCTAGGAATCACCACCAGTGAGTCTAGTCTCAGAACAATTCCATACTTGTTACAGTTTATTGTAACAACAGTTTATGGTTGTTTGTGTAACTGGTAATGGCTATGTCTTTGTGTCACTTTGTGACCTTCTCTTGTCATGTCTTTCTCTGCTTATCTAGGCCACCCTAAATGTTTCATGTGTGTTGTACGCATGAGACTGAAATGTAGCAGACATCTGGTTCTCTGTTGTTGTGAATGAGTCAGCACTTTCTGCTTTAGGTTTACTCAGTATTAGAGTCCTGACCAACAGTTGTAAGCACCATAATGTGGAGACTTCCTATTTAAAAAACATTTGATACACAGTGCATATAACAAACTTTCTTGTGATTAAATGTGGCGGCACATAAGATGAATAAATAATAATTGCTTACACTTATATAGTGCTTTTCTGGAAGAAAATACATACTGTATGACATGTTCAAAGGTGTAATTGGTAATTCATATTTCTGTAAGGTTCTATGTCTCATTTCTATCATTATTTCACTAGGAATAAAAATACCAAAGATTTAAATGTGTTGAAGGGGTTTATTGAGTGTTTTAGTCAAATAAAATTGGCTTTACTGTCTTCGACCTGGAGGATGAAGGACACAAAAGATAGAAAAGGGGGTTTATATATAGTATTTATAACTTCAAGTGGGGAAATAACACCGGAAATGATTGCAAATTTCTGACAGCAGATTGCATTTGTTGCATCTTTATGTAAAAGGCAGCACTGATTAAGTTGTTCAAAAATATGTCATATGAAGAAAGACATAGAATCTAAACAGAAAAAATGAAAGTGGACATGGCTTACCCTTAAGACTGTGCACATGAAATGCAAGGGATTCCCTCTCTTCACCATTCAATGTACCCTTGCAGACGTAGGAATTGTCACCCAAATTTGCCTTGAAGCCCTCCTGAGGGTTGTAAACTCCACTGATTGGAATTTGACTTGCCTTCTCATATAAGGTGACATTTATTTGGGGGTTGGTAACAAAGCAGGGAATGGTGCCTTCCTCCCCTACCTTCATCACAAGGTTAAGGTCAGATGGTAGGAACCACACATCTGGATCTGGGAGAGAAAAACACCTACAACTAAAAACCTAGGCAGTGTTTTGTGAACCTTTTCACTTTTTGAGAAAAATTACTTATACAAAAGATTTTTTAAATGAAAAAAAAGAAAAACAAATCATTTTCTTTTGATTAATGTTATTTACCAAACTGACTGACATATTGAGGCAAAGGGTATCACAGTACATGGGTGAAGTTGCTCCACTGTATTATATGTATTCAGCATGAAGAGTTGAGGGGCAATTTTGGCAATTAGCACAATTATTGAATTTAAAGAGGGGCCATTACTGTGAAAGCACTGTGTACTGTGCAGCTACTGTCCTCCCTTCACAAGTTTTTTTTAACTCTTATTAGATATGTTCACTCCCAAAGGCCTGATCTCCAGGGCAGCTCATCTTGTAGCATAATGTAGAGTACTGTATGTTTCTTGGTGATTCTTAGTGAAGAAAGGCTACAAGATTCCTGAAAATTCAGAACAAAAACCTGAAATACACTGAAAACACTGTAATTAGCTAGTAATTAACATTCACATTAAAAGTATTCTAGCTTTAGATTTAAGTAGCCAGATTGTAAAAGCAATAAACAATCTGTAAATACAAATCAAACTTAATTATGGTGTACAAATTGTAAAAACATTTGAGTTGGAAAATAAAGAAGAGATCCGAGATTCCGTTTTGAAAATTTCAGTTCCAAAAGTACATTCATGTATCTCAAGTAGTGATGATTTCTAGAAAGCAAGGGATGTATGTCATTATATTATGCTGAGACTATTTAATTTATACAATTCATAATATATATTTTTTTGCTTTCTGATAATTTCTTACAATTTGGTAATTGCGTAGACGTCATCTTAGATAAAGGTTTTGGCTAAATGCATGATCAAAATAAAAAAAAAGTAAAAAAAAGTATGGCTAACCTGGTACATAAATGTAGATGCTTTCCTCCTTGAAGGCTGATGGGGATTCAGAACATGTATATAGTCCAGTTTGTCTCCATGTTACATTTTGTAGTGTAAGATTACTAGATGAAATCCCATTCTTTACTGTAGAATGAATTTGTTTGTCATTGTGTTTCCAGATCACCTCACTTGATCCTGAGCACGTCAGAGTGATGTCAGAGTTCTGCTTCAAGACTAACTCTGGGCCACTTGGTGAAATTTTAAGGCCTTGACCACCTTGACACAGCTGTAGGAGAGCTTTCAAAACAAATTCACAAAGTTATAATGCATGTCCCACAGAGGGTTATAACAAATGAAAAACAGAATGGAGTTACACTGATAAGGTTGTGTCCTTTACCACTTTCCAGGTAATGGGTGGGTAGCAAAGAACAAGCATGATTCAAATCTCCACTACTGTATGTTCTGAGAATCAAAACCCTGATTGCAATTGAATTGCTCTGGATTTCTAATAGATGTCACTTCTTTTTTTCTAATTCTAAATAGGAATTCACAATGCAAAGAATAACATCCAAAACTGAACACATTAAAGAGAAAGTAAACATTTTGTAGTAAAGTGATATACAGTAGGAATGTATAAATATTGTAATTACATGTAATAGTCCACCAGGTGTCTCTACCCATTTTCTTAGGTTGTAGGAGTCACCCGGATGTTATAGTTTTGGCGCCAGAAAACTAGAGAGAAAAACCGGGGAGAACTGGCGAGAACGGGGACAGTTGGAGAAAGCTAGCATGAGAGAAAGGTATCAGATCAGTAGTGTAATGTGCTGCACAAAATAACTTTTCTTTAATACATAGTTCATTGTTCCTGCCTCTGTGTCATTCTTTGTTTCATGTGAAGATACAACACATTTAAAAGTTGGATTGCTTTTTGTGTCCCATTAACATGTCTAAACAATGATGTACCTTATGAATCTTACCAAGAAAAAAGACAGTATTTTCTGTGAACCAAATTCATCACATGGACTATGTTTTACCTGTGACAAAAGCTGCTAAATTGAAGTCTGTCATCCAACCCCACTTCATTTTGAAACTCTTCTGGAAAAAAACAAACAAAATCAAATGTAATGAATGTCTTTTCTTAACATAGTGATCAGTATGACCTTATAACAATTCTCTTGTTCCCATGAGTTTCCTCTGGGAGATCTGATTTCCTCCCACAGTCCAAAGACATACTGTACTGCTAGGTTAATTGGCTTCTGGGAAGATTGGCCTTGGTGTGAGTGTGTGCATACTTGTGTGTGTTTGTTTTTCAATGGACTGGTGTGCTGTCCAAATTGTATCCTAACTTGCACCCTTTGATTGCTGGGAAAGGCTCCCCACAGCCATGTACTGTACAAAGAGGTTAGACGATAGATGGATGGATTTGAGGTATGAAGAGCTACATAAATAAAAAGTATATTTTAATACTATCAATTGCTTTAAAAAGCTGCCCAACAGAATTATTTTCAACTTAACTTAGATGCAAGTCTCACAAATCAACCTATATGTATACGTTTCCTTCATTACATGACTTTACTCATATTAGAATATCTATCAAATGTACTAGCCTATTAATTGGGTGTAAATATAATAATATTTAGAAAATGGAAAACAGTCACCACCTGCCTTCTCTCAATCTCCTGTGATAACACAAAATGTTCAAGTTCTAGTCAAATCTTTTTTCAGGCACATTGAGAGGTTAAAGTAAGACATGTCAAGCCATTTCTCTCTGTGAAGGAATAAACAGATTAATTGTAACTGTTGTAAGACAGTAAGAAGAAATAAAATAAGGAGACAGTTCCTAACCATACAACAGTTTTTTGCCTCTTATCAAAGACTGCTGGAATCTCACAATCAAGGAAAGCAGAGGCATTCCAAAGCTACAGCAACAAAGACAGGCACATTGCCTATCAATGCCCTCTGCAGGGCTCCTGCTGTTTTGTCATGCAGAGGTCAGGAAGTTGCAAGGGTGGGTCAGGAGACATTCAGCATACAGAGAGAAGTGGGTAGTTGACAAAGCAATTTGACACACAACACGCTTCTCATTCAACTCATGTTCCTTCCAGTCTGACCCCCTGAGATCTAACGTCTTAGTCCATGCTCCAGCTTTTAATGATTTCCTTGGTTCAATGCAAATCCTAAGACTTCTCAGTGTTCAGGTATACTAATTAGGGAGATTTCTTTGGAAGGAAACATTGCAGTGTAACATTGACATTTATGAATACAACAAAGGGATACATAAAACCTAAAATGCATGTAACAGCACAGGGTGATTTTATACATTTCAAAAAGCAAAGTAAAAATACTGTAAGTATCATTAAAGCACACTGATTTAATTAACTGAATCAGTGTGGCTCAGGTAAAGCTTTTACAAAATAAAGGAATCATACCTAAGTAGGATTAAGTTGATTTTGTAATAAACGCCTCATGGGCAATGCTACAGGACATTTTCAGAAAGCAAGAATACTGTATATCAGGATGTGCAATGTATCTCCATTAGTTATGTCTCTTGGGGAAAAAAGAGAAAATTCACACAGCAATGATCCAATCAGTTTAAATAATGCATTTCATTTTTATAAGATATATACTCTTTTTAATGTATTTCAGACTTTGTTAAGGAGAAAAAAAATTGAAAATGAAAAATGTAGCTGACTGAAGAAGAATAATGTATTTATGTGGGCTATTCCCATTCCAATTAAAACACAGCAGAATGTCACACACCTGCTCATCACACCATCTCCCTATAATATGTGTATTGTATAAGCATCCCAGGCAATTCTGTTAATGTCTAACAGATTTGCTAGGGAACAAGGTTTAATTGTAAACACTAGCTCATTCAGTGTTATACAGGGAATACAGAAATGAGTATGACTTTGGCCCCTTCCTTTACTTTTTTCCTGTTGGGAGGTAAATTGTTGACAGCCACATTACTTTATTGAAGTAGGAAATGATCAATTCCTATTTCAATATGGCAATGTACAGTACAGTATCAATTCCCATTTCATTATAAAAAGCCATTAAAGCAGGATCTAAACTCTAAACAAATTTTGACTTACTGTCTGATCAACCTCAGAGACCAAATGTGCCTCCTGCCTTATCATTAAGTTGGTGTAATTGCAGGCATTTGGGAAGTACCTAGGCAGGAGCTGAAGTTATATTAAATATACTAAAAATACTATAATAATTAACTGTTTTAGTTATAAAGTGTTTCCAGTAAACAGTGTGCACTCTTTTTGTTAATGTTCTTACATATAATTTGTATTTTAGACAGAGTATAGTCATTAGACAGAGTATAATCATTTCTTCAGCAGCTCTACTGTAGTGCTTGGAAATTACACATTTATCATTCCATTATTTAATGCACTAATGCATTACTAAATAACCTCAGGTTATTATTATTTTCTATGTAGACATTCTAATTACCAATATAACCAGTAATTAATATAATTCAATAGAATTGTACTTGAGTTAACCTACCTGCTTCACCTACTGTATAAAGATGAATATACATTGGTCATTTACTATATTGTTGAAAATTAAAATCTTTACACATGTGTCCATACTGTGAATCTTTGTATCTTTGTTAACAGAGAATTATTATTCTGTTCACATTGTAATATGCCAGATTTCTAAAGGTCTGGTCTAGGGAGTGAACAAACACTAAAACAGGATGATATGATCTCCATTGTGCACAATTTCCTTGTGGTTTTCCTTGTAAGCTCTTAAAGTCTGAGCACTCATTAAGTGCCTAAGAGAGGTATCAGTGTCTATAAGTGGCTAAATTTTCCCTTGTGTGCCTCTTGTTGAGACATGAGTAAGATTATACAGGAATTATAGTGAGACTTTGTCAAACACAGGAGACTTTTTGTGGATACATTAATCTTTTATCATTGTAGTTCATATGCAAGCCACAGGGCTGCAGTGGAATGATACTGGTGCCTTGAGAATTGAAATACTGAAACACTGTTATGGATGACTAGAACTGTATCAGGAGTTTCTGTGGTTAAACGGGTTAAAGGGCAACATTTTTTGTTGCTCTAAGCATAGGCAAAAAAAGAAGGATTCTGACTGGAAATTTGTCCTTGAGTAAACAGTGCGTCATACAATGTGGGAACAGATGGAAAGCTCAAAAAGTGGGAGGCTGGGGTCTGGAAACTATTAAAGACAGAGAGGAGGACTGAAATCAGTAAAGGGGTGGGAAAAGAGACGAGCAGAAGAAACTGCTGAGGGAGGAGAATAAATCCTACTAGAGGATACACCAACTAGTGCGAATCACATTTTATAAAGCTGGTTTTCACTCTGATACAATATACAAGTATGGATGTATGTGTATGTACTGTATACAAGCACAAAACATAAAAAAGAAGAAACGAGGCTAGGCTTTATGCTTGTTTTTGCTGTTTTTTGCTGATACATAACCCCTTCGAAGTTCCTCACGGCAAGCTGTTCTCTCATTCTATGACATGAGTGCCAAGGAAATGACTTGCACTCCTCCCCCAGCTTGGCTGTTCTCTCCAGAGGAACAAAAGAGTAAATAAACTGAGCTGACAGCATTCCCAATTGGCAGACTCATGGAATGGTTCTGTCTTCACACACCACCCACTCCTTTTGGTTTATAGCTGAATTTCTCAAACTTAAGTATATGCTTATTTTCTCTCCTTTTTTCCCATGAAGGAAGTGGTCCTCTAGATGAGTGAAAAAAATATGTTGCTGAGATCAAACACCCATGGAGAGTCCCTGAACAAGACAGTGATGTTACGTTTATACTGTATGTGTCATGCCAATGAAGTTGAATATCTCTTTCCTGATCTTAGTCAATACAGTGCAAATATTACATATTATGAAATTTGAAAGAATTTAAAGAAAAAAATATGCTATAGGCTTACAAAGCTTCCAGGTGAACAGTGGAGAAAATTCTTAAACTGTAAAACTAAGACATATTTCTTCCTTCTATGTCAAATCTATAATGCGCTTTGGACCATGGAAATACCTTAGAAATGGACTAAATATAAAGAATTAACATTTTAAATATTGAAATGTGCTTTGATTATTTAAAATGAGGTTTTAGTGGGAACAAATTTAAAAGTTAAACTCTGTGAAACACATCTGGCCATGTGTTTGATAGTCACAAGATACAGTAGTGAGATAATGACGGTATTTGATTGTAATTCGTTAAGCAAAAATATCTTTTGTCAGAACACAGACATTAACAATCTCAAGCACAGTGGTCTTACACAGCAACATGTACTCAATGTGCATGTACAGTAAGTGTCAGCATTCTTGGATATCTGACTACACTTTGCCTGCTGACTTGCCACTTTGTGTTTTTTCTGACATTTGATGTAGAAATAGATAAAGTTCACAACTGACAATTATTAAATTTAACTCAGCCACAGGGATTGTACGTGGTGAGCCATTGTGTAGTGCAGTGGTATAGAATTAGTGCTGATGTTTACCACAGTGGTTGCAAATATATGGTCTTATGAGCATCTCTTTGGTTAGAAAAGGTCATTGTGATGTTTGTAGACATCCTTTGATCTAGATGCTGTGATGAAAAAAAGTGTTTGTCATCTGATTCAAGCACAGCTGACTGCTATTCCAGTAAACCATATTTATTTATTAATTATAGAAATCAAGAAAATTAGGTTTAAAAAACTCATGAGGAGGTTATGAGGTTTTTTTACAGAGATGCAGCTAATACACTAGACTCCTTAACTTTTTCCTAAAAATGTTTTAATACAGAAATCAACAAAAATACAATAGTGATCTACTATATGCAGAAAAATAATGAAACATTGCAAAAAATGCTCTAATCTTCAAATCCTCATGTACTAGAATTAAAAACATGGATACAGTGTTGGAGAAAGGTATCATTGTGATTGCTGCAATTACTTGAATAAATTAATAATAAATAAATTAAAAATAAATGAGAAGTTAATGGGAAGTGATGGTTAACTCTGTCCTGGCCAAGTTATAATATAAATTAATTTGTAATTCCTTAGTAAGCCTTTAAAGCATTAAATCAGTGTGATTTTCCTGCTCTTTAATGTGTAACA